CTATAACTAAACTAATAGTAGGAATCATTAAAGCCTTGGAATCAAACTAGTCCTAATATGGCAAACCTTTACCACAATTTTAGGCGGTTCGGTTGTTTTTCATGTTGTTGAGATTACTCTAATATTTCTTTCCAAGTCTCCGGTGAAACGAAAAAAAACGTTAGAAACGCAAACACCAGTCTCAGTAGTACTCGACGTAAGCGCGAAACATCTAGGTATTAGTAATTCACATGAGGTTCGTCTTCCTATAGTTTATTCTTCTTTTCTTAACCGTGCCACACATTTATTCTCTTCCTTACGGTTATTTTTTTTTTTGAAGACTTCATTAAAACGTCTCGACACTTATCGCATGAGAGTTTACACTGGTTCAAAATTCTTAGCGGTACTAGTAATTTAATAACTCGAAAGACCGACTTTCTGTGAACCTCGGCATAGATAGTTGATGTATTTATTTATGTGATCTTATAAACTGATCTTCTTAAGCTGACGCGAGGTTGGTACAGATCTTCGTTGTCGTTGTTTTTGATGTTATTGAACGATGGCTGACGTTTCGGCGACATCGCCTTCCTCAGAGCCGTGATGTTACGTGCGGGACGTGCGGCTCTGAGGAAGGCGAAGTCGCCGAAACGTCAGCCATCGTTCAATAACATCAAAAACAACGACAACGAAGATCTGTACCAACCTCGCGTCAGCTTAAGAAGATCAGTTTATAAGNGATCTTCTTAAGCTGACGCGAGGTTGGTACAGATCTTCGTTGTCGTTGTTTTTGATGTTATTGAACGATGGCTGACGTTTCGGCGACTTCGCCTTCCTCAGAGCCGCACGTCCCGCACGTAACATCACGGCTCTGAGGAAGGCGATGTCGCCGAAACGTCAGCCATCGTTCAATAACATCAAAAACAACGACAACGAAGATCTGTACCAACCTCGCGTCAGCTTAAGAAGATCAGTTTATAAGTCTTCAGTTCATGGTTTCTCTAACGCGGCATCCGCAACATTTTTGCAGATTCATTCCACTCTCTCAAGAAAATACAAGAGAAGAAAAACGGAGATTATCCGGGAAAATGAGGAATTATTGCGGATGTTAAGGATTATCAGCGATTTTATTACAAATTCTAATCATTATACCAACCCTCTGCGTTCCGCTTTCCACTGTATCATGACTGCAGTAAAGTTCATGCTTGTAATAGTTAATGCGGTAAAGTGTTTAGTGCAGTGAATAGAGATCTACTGCAAAGCCCATTGGGTTGTTTGTTTGATCCAGCGCTGTAGGCAAGCCAAGTTCCCTTCCATCCTTCCGAGGTCATCAGTAGGTTTGTACTAGACGTCCAGAAGGATAAAAACATCGAATTCTTCGTCGCAAGTCATAGTTTCATTCAAATACGCCTTTAATCGCTTCTACAACACATAGAATTCTGTGTTCCATCAATGGTGAAGAGACATAATGTGATATATTAAGGCCTCACTCTCTCCCATTTGTATTCTGCTTTGACATCAGCATTCAAGCTATCCAATACCAATGATTTCCAGTGTTGTCAGCTCAAAATTGTGTTGCCTAAGAGTCACATCCCTTACATTATTCTGTTATTCTGTTGTTAAATGCACAAATAAAATGGCGAGGGTCAACAAGAATAACAATCTCCATTCACTTTTTAATGACTTTTCTTTTGTTTTTAATTCACTAGGCTGTTTCATGCATCCAAGTAAGATAATACTTGCGTTTGTCTACGTGACGTAAATGATTAGACTAATAAACATAGTTAAAGAGCGAATTAAAACTAAAGAGACGTAGACTAACTGTTAGATCGTTTACAAATCCTGTACAAAATATTTTACCCTGTAGAAAAATTAAAATGTGGAGGCATAACAACTACTCACAAATCCATTAAATCCCCCACAAAGTGTTTGGACTAAAGGACACAAGGCTAGCGCTGTGCATCTCCATCCCCAAACAACGTTATCCATTGAATGCTCACCTACTGTGCTCTGCAGACATAAACAAGCAAACGTTTTTTGTATGTGACATTTCTCACGTTGTTTTTAGCGCAAAAATCGCTACGAGACCATATGACCAATGCTTAGCGGTGAGATCAAAAGCAATAAAACACTAGAAAAACTGTGTTAATTAAACAATAACGCTATAGTACTACGCTCCGAAACTTGTCGATTATCGCGAATCAATTGGTACTGACGGGAAAAATGCTGAATGTGGTGCTGTTCTGCATGACATCGTCGACGTTCCGTCGAAAACTGTTTCAAACGTTCAAGAGATGGATGCTTGTCATTGTGTCATGCGATTCAAAGAAGGGAAACAGGTATGGAAAGGATTAATTAGTGCTTTGCTCACATCATATATGGTGTAAGTTGGTTTTGCATGTTGTATGTTACAAGTAACTTAGCCCTTTATGTTACGAATTATGAATTTTTCACGTTATTTCCGCAACTACGGGGCTACGTCATGGCATAGTCGACACTAGCGACTGGTTTTTTATTTGCGACTGTATTGCCTTTAGATCTCCCCCCTCGCTCCTTTAACTGCCTTCTCTAACGGGTGGAATTTCTATGCGAAGGATTCGATCAATATGAATTGAACTTCTGTTCTAATGGCTTGGGATTGAAATTTGAAAAACCAACGGACCTCTTTGGATAGTTCAGCTTACACGACAATATTTAAACAATTTTTGTTCCGCTTTGAAATTCGTGTGTTTAGTTTGGTAGCAATAATAAAAAAAAATTTTGTAGACCGAATTTACTCTCTCCTCCAAGGAACCATGTAAATAAAACCGAGCGATTTACATTAGTGAAGAACATCCGTCTTCGAGAAGAAATCCACAGATGATGAAATGATCATGAAAGACCTATATCACAAATGTTTTAACAACATGCAGTACTTCGATAAGTAGCTATTAGCTTTAGGAGTACGAAGAGGAGTGTTAAAATCGAACTGCAATCTTCGAGCACCTTAACCCAGAAATGAGGCAAGAAACCACTATTGCTAGCGCTTTGACTTTGTGTTTGTTTTGTGCTCACAGCAGTTCCCAACCTTCTGATAGCACATTCTTTTTCATGGCGTATGTAACGCAGTAGTTAAAAATGCTGTCCAAAACCTATCTAGTATGGTTTTTGTTTGGATTTTGCGCTCTGGGATAATGAAGCATCCCATCATCAGCAAATTAGAACCGTTCATGGAAACACTGTTTTAGTGCATCGGTATGGCCCCAAATTTATAGAAGGTGGTACAACTCATTGTCCTCTGCGATGCTGAGTGGAATGAAATGCATGGCGCCGAATCCCCAGATGATTGGTCGACACTGAACTTTTTATCCTTTTGTCCTTGATTGTTCACTTTAATGAAGTCACACAGCGGTTTCAGGTCACGTTTCTTACGATCGCAGTCGAGATCATTAGTGACGCAGCGTACGTCGGTGATGCTATCGAACAGCATGTGTCAACAACGACGAACATCTTCGGCCTCGCAAACGTCACAATCGCAGAGGAAACGGTCACATGGAGAGTGCGCATCGATGTCGATGCCCATTTACGAAGAAAGTGCACAATAACAAAAGTAAAATGTTGTCAGACCTCTCATAGGCGCACAGCTCATGAGATTGATGTCGCACAACGAATTCGATGATTATCACCGTTCAATATCATGTTCAATCCTATTTACAGAAGCTGGTTCAATCCTCACTACCACCTAAACGAACCGTACATGTGAGCATTAATAAGAAGACTGTACAGATTCCTATTTGAAGTACATGAAATCCTTACTTGTTTCGTTATCATAATTTACATTGGGCGTATGCAGAGCAATGGTTAGAGGCGCTTTGCAATACACATGGGATCGATCTAGCGCCTCAACCTCACGATGCTCTCCATCCATCCAAGGTTGGTAGATTGGTACCAGACCTGTCTAGGAGGATAGCAGCGCTGACTTGGTGCATTGGTAGTCCACTGCGGGTCATTGTATAGGTCAGCTTTGCATCCAGTCACCTCTGACGGTACTTCATAAAGTCCAATGCATGGCGCAACCCTGAGGGATTGATCAAAGCGGAGAGCCTTATCCTTTTTTATCCTTTGATTTACAGTATGAGGCAATTTGCGGCACCATATGAAATCTTCAGAAAATGTGATAGCAATCCGCTGAGATCGGTCAGTACCATCGTGTTCATTGCCGTTGTCTGTGTTTGTGCAAGGTTTACTCTTCTTGAAGTCTTGTAGTAAATGTATAAATATGGTCGAATGCTAGGAAGGTATTGTTCTTATTGAAGTTGCATTTCACGTCTGGGATGATCTCTAAATATTATTTATTTGTCTACAAACCCATCAAGTCAAAACAAGATGATAGTAGTCGTTCTGATTTAATCTCAATCTTAACATACAGGTTTCTATCGTTTGTCGCTGGAATCACATTTGTATTCACATGCATCTTTTCGCAAGCCGTAATCTCTATGTTTGATTTAGTCACCTATTTGTGTAGCGATGAATAAAGTACAAGCAACCGTTCTTGTTTTCGAACTCTTTGTTTTATTTGTATGTTCAGTGTTTTTAAATTGGCTGAACAATAACTTTTGCATGGTAAACTAGAGTAAACTAGATTTAATGTATTCTCCAGCTCACTCTCTCCCAATTCTCTTGGAGTCCTGGCAACTACTACACATCAAGGTGATCGGATTAGTGCCAAGGGTTCACTCGCATCTTGGAGATGTGCTCTGTTATAGGATATATCCTAGCTTCTCTTCTTAATGGCATGCCAAGATGTCTTAGATGGCCGTTCTAAAGCGTCTTAAAGTATGCAGCACAAGCCAGCACAGGACCCTGTGTATCGGAAGAAGATCTGCTGCTTTCGAACAAGGATTCTTTTAGCGATCGCTGAAATGAGTGGGCCTCGTGATTGGTAGAGTAAGAAATTGAACACTGTTTAGCAGGGCTTAACTAATGCAGTAGTATAAGAAGAATGATTGAGAGAATTGTTTATTATATGGTTTTCCATTTATATCTTAAAGTATGACCGTCCATGGAGTGTATGTGCCCTTTTCTGGCAATTTCGGTACCTAAGGTGAGATCAATAAGTGGAATTAAATCAGATAACTAAAAGAGGAGAACATTGGCCTAAACTCACTTTTTTCAGAATCTCATCCTCACAAGCCATACGAATGCGTTCTGGAGTGGCCGGTGCGTCAAAACGAAAATAACCGTTGAGACCATGGTCGAGGCGAAATGATCGCACAGCCTCTCGAATAGCAAAAAATGCACAGGCACCAAGAAATAGCGGTGGCTCACCGACCGCCTGAATGCTTAGCTTTTATCCGCAACAACAGAAATGTTGTTTTCATACTCCTCTGAAAATTATGAGACACTAGTGAAGTTAATATAGTTGGTGCGATAAAAATTCCAATTTCAGTGCAACACTTTTTTTCTCTCATCTATTTTATTACTTTGGTTGTTTCGTTAGTACTTGAAGAACGTCAACTGCTACATGCAGTACCGTCAACCTCTAGCTCGAAGGGGCACCAGTAGAATTGATGTTCATGCGCTGTATGCCAAAACTTACTAAGTAGGCTTAGCTGGTCGAATTAAAAGACACGAAGCGTGTCGCTCTTTTGGAATAAAACGATCCTTTTTCATTGCCTTTGCCGCGAATGCAACCAAGCATATATAGCCAACGTATGTCGCTGCGACATGAGTTTCCTGCTAGCCGTACTTCTGAAGAGAAATGTGGGACACCTCTTTCAACACTTGAAACATTCTTTTAATGAATGAAGCCTTGGTAATCATGGTATTCGTATGGACACTCAGGAATGTCATCCACCACGGTAAAACCATTATGCGATGGTGGAGAAAAATAATGTTGTATATTGAATCAGAAAAAGTCCAGATCGATCAACGACGTTAATTGGCGAATGCCAAGAAACAGCTATAAGACAATAACAACACAGTTTGTTTGATATCTCTCATGATTATTCAATGGATGGCGAAAACCAGTTCTTCAGAACAATATTCGTCATTGTTTTCAGCCGATGACGACTATTTGAGTTATACCTAAATATTTACGTCACGTAAAGCACAACAGGACTCTATCATAGTAAAACAACATAAAATTTGGGACCTTGCTCTTAATCTCTACCCAACTACTGTAAAGAGATCATTGAATGTAAATCCGACCATGTACAGATTGGCGAATGACCTTAGGAACGTTAATTTTCTACCAAAGTCTCTTTTCACGACATAACGTTGCAAAAGGAAAAACGAACATTAAAAACATTACAAACCTTAGATGAAAAAATTGCCATGCGATTACTTGATCCTTTGAGAAGGCGTACATTAAAAACACGTGGAGCATCGTCTGCAGATGGAATTTTATAAGCACCTGGACCTCGAGTGAGTCGTATTCCGTCCGGACGGATTTTAATCTCTTCCATGGTAAATAATCCGTAGCCCTGCATTGCCATTATTTATGGAATGAAAATTTTTGGTAAATTCGCAGAAATATTACCCGAAAGTGCTGGAGTCTGCATGGACCTATTTCGGGCTACAACGCGCAGTGGCAGCACTTCCCTCCATGACCGTATCTTTGTCTGCCTCTCTCACCCACTCTCTTGCTCTCTCTCTCCTCTCTCCGTACCATCTTTCACATTTAGCATAATAGTGCCCTCTAGACAACCTTCTCACGATTGTTCCCATTGTTATGCAAAAAAACTCTGAGTAGATAATAGGGCTTGCACAGCACCTTATAACGGAAACAAACTGTAAACCAAGTATGATTTCTTCAAATTTTTTTTACAAGACCCGTCTCGACACCTAATCTGCGGATATCCGCCCTTCCTGCATTCGATTCGTTTTCACATATCCGCCATCCGCCAAGGTCCTAGAACTTTTGCGTTCTCAGCTTTTGCTTGAGTTGTCGTTTTCATCATAAATGTCTTTGAGTGCGGCTTAGGTCAACTCTCCTTGAAATTCCGGAATAGCTGGGTTACAGAGTTCCCACTTGGACTAAAAGAAATGAAACCTTCCTAGACAAGACTGGTGCCAATTTCTTGAAGGCAGAGCGATGAGAGGACTGGTGAGGCCAAGGCGGGATCGAGCCAGCACCGTACTCGTGATAGGCAGCAACGCTACCACTGCGCTACCCGTCTTCGCCAAGAATACTCAACGCGCCGAGTTGTATACTTTTGTTTGTTATTCTATCGTATTAAAATACAACATTAATGCAGAAACCTGAATGAACGCTCCTTCGATTTGACCAATGTCCACGGCAGGATTCAGGGAATCTCCGATGTCCATCACAATATCGGTGCGTAAAAGCTAAAAGAGGCTGTAGTCCTCTGGGAGTGAAGATCTTTGATTACTCTCCCTAGCTCGTTTTCACTTTCGCGTTGTAGTTCTTAATCTAAAACAACGAAAAGGAGCTTCACTTACGTGATGATCACCAGTCAAGCAATCGACTTCCACTTCACAACACGCAGTACCATAAACACAATAGCCGAACAACTCAGCACCTTTTCCATTGAAGAAATCTACGTTCTCGCAATGAATTCTGCAAGAAGCCCAATATCCATCAAAAACGTCGATATGATATCATCCGTATACCACTAATTATAGATGGAGTCAAACCGCCACTAATAAACTGCTCACTCGTCTACGTGCTTGTGAAATGGCTGCAAAGTGAACATCGCTCAGCTGAAGTAAATGAAGAGAAGCATGAATACTTGCACTTTCCGCAATTATATTGAACTAACTGGGTAAAACCTCTAAGCCAATCTTTCCCACTTTTAAACCCTATTCGTGAACCACAAAATCTTCGCCGGAGAAAGACCATCACAGTTTCTTCCCTCTAAAGTTCGAGTTATGATAGAAAGTGTGAAGATAGACACTGCTCTAGTGCCAAGACAGACAGCGGAGGACTTTCTTCGCGACGGAAATTGTACTTCCTAGAAACCATACGTCATATTAGATTCGAAAAAGACTGAACGCGTCTTCGCAACTATCGTCCAGTAGAGTGTACTCTATGAGACGTTTACGAAAATTATCCATTTGCTCATATCAAGAACATTGGATGAGATTTGGCCAATCCAGCAAGTAGTATGCTGACAGAGACCTCGTATATGATGGGCTAGCGTCAACCATCTACGTTTGCAGATGGAAGTGATTGTGGGATCACGGAAAGCGCCATGAATAAATCGCTTCCCACAAAGCAGACCACCATTCTTGACTATGCGACCTATCCAGGCATTCCGGTGACTCGCCAGTTGCTACTTTACGAGCTCGCTATAGTCATGGATGGCTTCTTGAACTCTTCTAGAGCGAAGTCGCATTTATTTATAAGAAACGACTTCGACGGAGCAAAAGTAGTAAGCACTGTTCCTGAACTCATAATGAACAACATTCTCTCACGCAACGTACTTTACTGGAGTAATTCCATTTTCCACCACATGAGAACGCTCACTTCGCCTAGCAGTTAACGACTCCTGAGATCTTGCCCCCAAAGAAATATTTTGTTTAATACAGCAAATATCAATATAATGCCACATAAATATATAGTTGGATAAATCCGCAGACATCACCTTTCCATTAGGTACGGTGAAAGACTAAAATAATCTGGTTGCCCTTATTCTGTACACAATGACACCTTAGACATCGATAACAAGTCGAACAAAGTTTCATTTTACAGCGACAGAGGGGTTTGTGAAGAGTATCATTGCGCCAGAACTATTTAGTACTACTCTCGAAAACCTTGCATGGTAACTGAAATAGGTAGAAAAAAATGGAAATTGCAAAATTGGAAATAGTTGCGTCCTGACAATTCGACCTGTCGACGATAGCCGTTAGTGATTCGACTTCTTGGAACGTTAAGGGCAAAATATGACCTCGACGTTAGACTTTCTTAAGATGCTAAACAAAAGATATGATGTTTGGCTAGTTTCTTAAAAAAAACAATTCTCACTGGGCTGCTCGTGCATAGAACATGGATGAATGGAGGCTTCAGTGGCACACACTTAAGTTATTCAATGACAGAAGCGGATTTCACAGTACAGATCACTGTTGCCTGGCTTAGGATTGGAAGATACATAATTTCTACAAAAACAGATATGATAAATACATTTAGACCACTTGCCTTAACTAAAAAAAACCGTTTTATCACTAATACTGATGATACTGTATGTCTAAGAAGCGCCCAAAACGCAGATTTTCTAACTCGTATATAATGCTGAGATATTTGCAAAACTCCGGACCGCAGGTGTATGCGGTGGGGAACGAACGCGCTACTGTTACCGGGGAGTAGTGCGCTTCACCACCACACCATCCGGGTCCCTCGTTTTGCCTGTCTCTCATATAGTTCTATTGATCTTTTGCCATCAGCAATCACCCGTCAACGGGATTGATCTGGGAAGCCCAAATCGGCATTGAACCCAGTTAAGCTGAGGCTTAGTTATAATCACAATCTTAACCCTTTTATTTACCGCCTTTTTCTTTTCATGGCTGGGTATGTTGCGAAATATACGAGTTATATTTCGCAACATATTCTACCACTAAAAAGAAAAAGGCAGTAAATAAAAGAGTTAAGATTGCAGGTTTTCTAATTAGAAAGAAGATTATACATTCCATATCCAGTAGCAGATAGTGAAGAGCGTTCCGCGTAGGCCTGCTGTACCCAATCCTCCCATTTACCGGACGGATTTGACTTTTTGAAAGGTTCGAGACGCTTTAGCAATTTGTTACACGCGTCCTAAAATCTCCTCTATCACTATTATTTTGAGACACCTATTGTCATAAAATGATTATATTGTACTATGCTCTAACTGGGCAACGAACATGAAACGTGGTTATGGGAAGGAGCAATAAGAAATAAATTCGGACTCATAACAGAAAAAAGCGAAACAAAAAGTGGCACGAACAGAGGAAAAGTGAAACAAATAGAGAGTTCAGGAAGGAGGAGAAGAAATGAAGACGGAAAATCGGCTTTTTCAAAGCAGCTTCACCTGGACTGCGAGGCCATTCATTTCGCTACTCGCAGAAGCGGCCGTAGGTGAAGTATTAGGGACCTAAACATTTAAAATGCGATTGCATAACGAGTTTACTGCCTACCTACTTAACTTGAGAATGATGGTAAAGCTGAAAGGATTTCTATTTAAAACAGTAAAAATTAGAGAAAACTTCGGAGTATAAAGTCTGTCATTACTTTATCCGTAGCCGTCTCGTTTATGTGCACTTTTTCGATGGGAATATCCAAAACACGTGCAGCGATCTGAAGAATCTTAGTATGTAGTCCTTGGCCCATCTCCATACCACCATGAGAAATAAGCACTGATCCATCCAAATAAACCATTACAAGAGCCCCAGCCTAAATATTCTGAATTTTAGATCACCTTGTGCATAATGTGGCAGTTTTCTTGAACATTGAACACACAAGATCGATAGAACTAGCTGATAGACGGGCGAAACGAAGAACCCACATGGTGTGGTGGTGAACGCGTTACTCTTCCAAAAGTGCAATAGCGCGTTCGTTCCCCACCGCAGACACCTGCGATGCGGAGTTTTGCAAATATCTCAGAATTATACGAGTCATATTTCGCAACATACCCTGCCATAAAAAAGAGTAGGCAGTAAATAAAAAGGTTAAGATGGAACACAACTTCTTCATAACATTAAGCCGAAATCGAACGTCCTTAATGACTTGCCTTATAGCTTACGCAACATGAACTGTTTTCAATGACAAGCCGTTATTACAATAATAATTGTTTCTAGATTTATACGTTATCGTGCTGCGTGAAACAGAAACGCAGGCATGCTGAGATATGAGCGACATTCGGGGCCTCGGGTGTGCTTCGAATCCACGACTATTTTCGGGAGTAAAGTGTCAATGAAAAACGTAATCGCGGGCTATAAGCGCACCCGAGAACCCGAGTTTTGTTCACATTCCAGGATGCTAGTGATTATGGTTCACATAATACTACAATATGAACAGAAAAGAATGGGTAGTAAATAAAAGTTAAAACATTATACGAGAATGATCGTGACAGATACCTGATTCATGTGTTTCAACCCGAAACCGACACCGAATTTCGTAGGCATCAAATAAATTCCGCGTTTTCTGTACTTATTCGCTCTGCAAAGAAAGAAGTATTCGAAAAAAGATCACAGCAGCAATCATGTAAAATGTTATCCTGTCCTTCAGTTAATGGAAACTGGTGGAATAATTTTCGAAAAACCTTTATTAATTACCAAATAACTGGAAATAGCGCTGTGCTTAATGATGCCGTTGATAAGGAAGCAAAGCCTTTGGTTCTGTCCCCGCCCCAACGCTCACCACCAATGCACGCAAGAACGCCTTATCTCGGTCATTTGCATGATTTTAACAAAATTCTACCCAATCACTTTTCTGCGACAGTCGTAAAGAGGACGGAATCTTTAAGCAGCTACTGAAGCAAGGCTCGAAATGTCCGAATACCATTGTGGACGGTGCACACGACAAAAACGAATCGAATGTGAGAAGTGCTGATATTCCCACAGTAGTGATGATTGGTCATATAAAAAAAATAACTAAACAACACTTAGAATCCAATGCTGATCAAACTGTTGAGAATTCTCCAACAGCGAGTATAATCAGATGTTGAAAACATTACAGGCTTATAGAAGCGGCGCTGTCTCATCTATTTACAGAAAAGTGTTGTTCATCAAAAATTTCAATTACAGGATTCCCAAAGTTGTTTAGAACTAAAGTGTTCAAAACGAATGAAAACGAAGCCAAATTATGAAAATTCCAAACGGAATCTCTGCAACCCTAAAAATCAACAGAGCAATACGGAATGTGGTCGTGTTCTAAAGGACGCAACACGTTTCTTCAATTGCTTTCACTTTCGAATTACCAGCTTCCACAAAAAAAAGCGTTTGCTAAAACCCAGAAAATAAGAACTCTGTCAAAGTAAAAAGGCTTTCATCCTGTAGACAAAGATTTGTAGATTCTAATTCTGTTTTTCCAAAAAATGGCAAATACTCATATTTGCTCCAATGCACGGGAATCTTTATTAAAATGTAAAAGATTTTCGCTTTTAAATAAACTAAAGATAAAGAGCTGAAGTCAAATGCACTAAGAATTAAAATGGCCTTCGTATAGAATTAAGCGCATGGTGACAAATCTTCCTCTAATCCACCGGCTGCTGCCAAGGGCTGTAACGACCTGAGGAAGGCTTCGGCTAGGCTGACCTCAAGACTCTAGCCTATTTGGATACTTGGATAGCCCATTTTCACGAGTTGTAGGGATCCCAGCACATTTTCTATTCTTTTCTTTCCCTCGCAATCGTCGTCCATTGTGGTGGTTTTATCCGAACATGGTGGGACGTGCGGGCCTCTTACCGTGATCTGTAAAACAAATGCAGCTGCAAGTTGAGCCGATTAACTTTGTTACGAACTCGACTTCCCAAAGTGTAGGTGGCCATTCTATGAGTCGTCCGGTAGTGGTTAGATTTCGAACATAGAGCTAACCATTTCCTCCGTCCCTTCAAGGTTGGGGATCGCATGAAATAAACCCGAAGGCATAAAAACACGGATCTGATGATAGAGTGAGGATTTGGACTTGATGCATCGGTAGAGATCGAAGTCTTTGTATAGCCAAATGTGCATTCAACCACCACTAAAAATCGAATGTGTAAAGAGTTGATCTATGGTGAACACGCCATTCTTTATCCTCTGTTTAGATTTAAATACATTCTCCTCCAATTTTGTTGTCATTTTTGATAAAGCATTAATGATTCTCACTATATCGCATAATGAAACACTTCACGAGATGACCATTAGGAACGATATTTTGAGGACGTAGTTTTTATAAAAAAGGTTAACCATAATGAGAAGTGAAAAAAAAGAAAAAAGGAGGAATTCACTTGTTAAATTGTCTAACGAGATCGAGTCGCTGTTCATAGCTGCTCGACTCCTTGCATTCATTCCAAGTTCTTCGAATATTACACTGCCTTAGGTGCATTCCAAACGGTGTACAATCACCCTCCGCATACAAATTCATCTCGCGAAGCTAAATCGTACTAAAAACATTAACTACAAAAAGATGCAAATTTAAGACCAAAATTTTAAAAACGTAGGATTTTCATTGACACTTCACATGAATAAAAAGAAATTAGTGACATGTTAACTATAAGATTCCCTAGATGCTAGTTTATGCAAACCTGTAATTGAACTTCTATGCAGGCAAAATATATACCAAATTCATAAGAAACATTGTAAAGCTTAGCAGCTTAGTAGACTACTAAAGGTAGCAACAACCTCATCGTGGTCCAGATTCAACTCCTCAGACACGTGTTTCATAAGTGTTTCGGTGCAGAACATTGCTTGTGGACCACCGAAACCTCTGAATTAACTTTTAAAAAAAACTTCAACAATGTTAGTTTCCTATAAACTCGTCGAAGTGCTAAAGAATATGAGCTGTTAGCCGTACAAACAGCTTCACGGCTAACTATCACTAACACGTTACGGCCCACGTTGATTTTTAGATAGGTGACAAAAATTTCGGCAAACAGAATGTTGAAGGAGTTCACAGCCCTATGGATCTATAAAGGAACTAATCCCTTGACATTAATGACGTACGTAATCTTCGTAGAGTGTCTTTTCAATTTTTAACTTGTTTAGGTGCGCTAAAGGACTGAGAGCGATATCTAGAAGTTAAAAACTTCCAAATTTCCAAAATAAGAACGACAGATGAGAACATGAACACCAGAGAACGCTGCGGGACATTGGTGAACGCAATCGTACCCTTACTAATAAAATCCCAGTGGTTAATTTGCTTTGTTTTCGAAATAGCACAAAATATTGAAGCAATAATGTGGGAAAAGTGAATGGCACGGACCGGAGAAAATCATAATTCCATCTTAGATGAATAGAATGATTTGCATCTTATAAGCAAAGAACTTTCCATTTCAAAGATTCAAGTATATCGGTTCGAAATGAAGCAACTATTTTCATATCAAATTCATTTTCGAGACTTTTTTCACCTCGCAGCGAATACACTTTATTCTTTCATGGTGCCATACAATACTCTTCTAAGTTTCATAATTTCAGCTAGGTGACTAGTACAATCTTCTCAGAACTTTCGCTCTTCATATCTATGTCCACCAAAATAATCTAGAGACGATCACAGATTATTATGCTGTTAACAAACACTGCATAACGACTGCTGTCAACGGTAGAGTGATTTCTCCTAACTGGCCGTCGTAGCTCTCACTTCCCCATGAGATCTTGCTCTTCATGTTAGCGAAATACAACCACAACGTTGCTGAGATATTTGCAAAACTCTGGACCGCAGGTGTCTATGGTGGGGAACGAACGCGCTATTATCCTTTCCGGGGAGTAACGCGTTCACCACCACACCATGCGGGTCCTTTGTTTCGCACGTCTCTCAGCTATTTCTATCGATCTTTTTGCCACAGCAATCACCCGTCAGCGGGGTTGATCTGGGGAGCGCAAATCGGCATAGAACCCAGTTAAGCTATGGCTGTAGTTGAAATCACAATGTTTAACGTTTTGTTTTCTGCCTTCTATAAAAACCCCGCTGACGGGTGATTGCTGTGGCAAAAAGATCGATAGAAATAGCTGAGAGACGTGCGAAACAAAGGACCCGCATGGTGTGGTGGTGAACGCGTTACTCCCCGGAAAGGATAATAGCGCGTTCGTTCCCCACCATAGACACCTGCGGTCCAGAGTTTTGCAAATATCTCAGCAACGTTGTGGTTGTATTTCGCTTAGTAACCTGCCATGAAAATTATAGAAGGCAGAAAACAAAGCGTTAAACATTGTGACTTCATGTTAGCTTCAGTTTTATCACAACTTTATGTTTGCACACACGTAGGTCTCGTTATCGATGTTATAGCGCTAATATAGCCTATATAGATGTTTAATTACCCAAGTTTAAGGTTTCCAAATACGGCGCAGTAAAACATTTGCGTGGCAAAAACGAAGAGGACAACCGCACTACCATAAAAACTAACGAGTATATGCGCTGCGCAGATTACACGTTGGCTATTTTATATTAGAAGGATGGTTTCAATTACAGCGACAAAACTGAGAAAAGAAGTCATTTGGAGGAAATTTTCTATGACCTCTCCAGTTTTTTGAATTGAACAAACTTGATAACCTCACAGACCTGAAAGCGGTGTTTGACGACAAATTTGTCTTACACATTCGCCCGTGAATGTCAGCATTTGGGAACTTGTAACAGTTGTCGATGTGCACCATGGCCCGTTCTGAACACGAGTCGACAAGGAAGACAATCGACAGTTATAAAAATTGGAGCTCTACACTAAGCGATCTCTTTAGGATTAGCTATATGGACTCTCCACTAGGCACGACTAAGCATATGAGAGGTTTTTCAAAGCATAGCTGCTCTATGTAATGAATTGCAGGATCGATGGACGCATCAACTTAGTCGTTTTCTTTTTTTAACCTTAGACATGCCTGGTTTTAAACCACTTATTTTATAATGTTTATTATTTTCTAAATATTTTCCACCTAAAACTCCTTGCGATAAGTCCAATGTATGACCGCAGTTGTTGTAGGCGATCACACAGAAGTCACGAAGTTTTCCCGATTTATCAACGGCTACCTGAAAACTTTTATATTCTGGAAAAGATATTCTAGCAATATCATGTTCCTTTTTAAGCATGTAATCTACGCAGAAATAAAGGATTTAATAGTTTGTTTAGGCCAACAGTTCTCACTTTTACCACTATGATAAAACAAGTTGAGTATTAATATTTCAAAACCGACTTTCTTTTAACCACGGTATAACAAATCAGTATGTATTCTTTCCTTGATGAGCTTACACGAGGTTGATAAATGATGCTTATTCTCGGCTAACGTTTCGACGGTTTCGTCTTCGTCCATAAAAAACAAGTGGTTATCACGGTTATCAGCAAAGGATTATCGCTATCGATAAGAACTATCTTGTATAAAAGAGCATTGCCTAGTGAGTATGGCTCATTAAGGAGAGATGCTCCACTGAAGAATACCTTACTTGATGAGCGAGGATGACGGCACCTCGAGAACACGAACAACTGTGGACCATCCACTCGTGTCGTGCGCTCTGATGAAGACGAAAGCGTCGAAACCTTAGCCGAAAATAAACAATCAATCTCGTGTAAGCTTATCAAGAAAAGAATACAAGTTGAGTACTATTGACAAACCGCCTCACTAGCATCGGCTGACAAATGAGCAAATTCGCTCCAGAAATGGTACCAGTGTGATTTATGTAGATTATATTAATATGAGGCAAAAAAACTTGGCCTTCTCTTTCATATCGTTCATTTTAGTTCCTGTCTTTAAAGCTTCTATCGTCTAACACAAAACGTTCACTCCACTATCATTTGGATTGGAAAGAGTTCAAAAATATTAGTCCAATGGGCATTTCCGCCTATTGCCAATTAAACTCGATATTCGTCAATAAGTTAATGTTTTTTTTCTTGAACAGGTACGAGGTCTCCAATATAAAACTGATCGCCTTTGTCCACTCTACTTATCAATTTAACAGTTTATCAAGTAGTAAAGGCTTTTGTCTGTATCTTGCAAAAGAGGACCGCCTTGTTGTAACCACAACAGCGCCTCAGCTACTAGCTGTGATTTAGAAAATCCTCAAACTGGATATTGTTTCAGGACATTATTAAGCCACAGAAGAATATTCATTGCTTTCTATAGATGGAAGGATTAAATACTTACTAGTAGTGTTACCGTGCTCGTGCAAATTTTTTTACTACTACGTGTCAAAGTAGCATTTCTGTAAACATGCTTCTACTTATTATGCTGTTATGAATGTTTAATATATTTTCAGATTGGTCACCTTGCTCGAGCTCGTTGTAAAATTTTTATTCGGTTAACATTTCGCCTGTTCGTTTTTTTTGGGGTTTTCTTCAGAGTTGCAATGATCCGAGCCGATTGATCACAGCTGTTTATTATTGCGATGTGGGTCTTCGCAGTTGCATAGAATTGAATCCTCTGGCGTGAAGCACCTCTCCAATAAAGTTTCCTGATTAGGTGGGACAATTTTTTTCAGAAGAAAAGCAAACTGTTGCTAACACGCAAACAGTCAATATTCATCCTCTATAACAGGGCACCTCCGAAAGCGGATACTTCATCCGAGTAATTTCCTATTGAAGTGAATTCGGCTCGATGCCACACTCACCGCTAGAATGAACGGCTGTAGAAAATCACCTCAAGTGAATCTGGCTCTAAATACACCTTTCATTGACGAAAAGATGATTCACCTTATAGTTAAATCTAAACGGATGCCTTGTTCCAGTGATTGCCATGTCATCGTATCGCTCTAACGTTATGCGTACTGGCTTTCTCAGCCTAAAAGTGTTTTACGATCAACGAATGAAAGAGGGACTGTGCGTTCCACTCAATTAAGTTTAGTAAAGAAGAATGAATGCATGTTTGACCAATATAATGATTTGATTGAGCCTTCCGTTATATCAAATCACCGTATTTATCCTCCTGCACAAGCCAGGTAGTAAGTTGTCAAAGAAATATGGATGGAGGATTTGGTTATCCTGGGAGGCAGGATTATACTAGAGTGCTCGTATCACAAGCCACTTCTAGTAATTGCACTACTTGCGTCTCAGTAAGTCTTTTACAGATAAGTTTATAGCTCTCATTCATAAATAATTCCAACCCCAACGTAATATTCATTTGACTGGCACATCAGGTTTCCTCTCCAGAATCTAGAGGTAGCCGTTCGAGAGTACATTCCCAACTTCTCAAAGGATATGTACGTGATCCCACGTGAAATTAGAAGAAGTTTCACAATTCCTTACTAGGATTAATCAACGATAACTGTGGTTTCTAACGAAATTTTACCTCTACTCGACTTTAGGATGAGAATATCGAACTTCACATGGCTAAGGCTTTTAGAGCGAAGAGTCGTTTGTGAAAAAAGAACGGTTTAACGTCGAAGACAACAACTCATTGTCATAGAAAAACCGCTGCGCCACTGAAGGGTTTGCCAACGCATTTCAGCAAACGGCTTCTTATATTTCAGTGTGCGAACGACTTCAGAAATATAACGTACCTTCTGGCTGCGATCGCCGCCGGAACTGAAATTAAGGTACTAGCGGTCTCTTTGCCTCCAAATCCACCACCGATTCGTTTCACTCTCACAACGATCTTGTGCGCAGGCACGCCAATACATTTCGCGGTTTCCATCTGAGCAAAATAACGAGAGAATAAAATGAGAAAGTGGAAAGAATGAGGAAATAAACTAATAAAAACAGAGATTTTTTTAATGTTTTTTCGAATTATGCCAGACATTTTTTGGTTGAATTCCTTCATCTTGGGCCAATTAAACGGAATGGAAGTGAAGGCCGTGAAAAAACATCACAGCCCTTTTAAAAACTGATACCAAACTGAATAGATATCCCCAAAACCGATTTTCTGTTAACCTGGGCATTGATTGATAATTCGATGGCTCTCTTCAATAAGCAGACACAAGGTTGTTATTATAGAACTTATTAGGATACAATAGCTGACGTTTCAGCGGGTTTGCCTGCTTTAGAGCATGGAGAGGTCGAATTGAGATGCGATCTACCCAGTCAAACGTTTCTTAAATTTAGCAGATAGGAACCTCACGCAAGAATTGAAAACATCAGCACGTAAAACTCTTGCAGCTTTTCGAATCAATTCAAAAAAATCAAAAATGAACCGCAAGGAGGTGTGTACTGTCATCACGCGTGACCTGGCGCCATACCTCAGGCTGATCCAATAACCTGACAGGCACAGTCCTCGCCCATGTTTTACTCTGTGCGGCTGCTATCCACCGACTAACTTAAAGGCTTACAACAAATAAACGGTAGGTGTTTAAATGAAGCTGTTTCTTATGCGAATAAAAATTTATTTGTTAAGTTTCATCTGCTTGGGTTATGAAAGTGTTTGGATGGGTAGATCGCTTTTCAATTTAACCTTTCCAGACTCTGAAGAAGGTGAAACCACCGAAACGTCAGCTATCGCCTCCTAATTCTATAAAAATAAATTCTATAATAACAACCTCGTGTCTGCTTTTTGAAGAAAACCACTGAATACATATTTTCCACAGGAATTGTTTGGTTTTGTTATAATCTCGTTTTGACAGAGTGCAAAAAAATGAAAAAAGTAGGAATTACAGAAATAATAGACGGTTTGCGAGGTATATCAAAAATCAATGCGGACTGGCATTGAATAAATACTGTTTCAAAGAAATACAACCACAACGTTGCTGAGATATTTGCAAAACTCTGGACCGCAGGTGCCTTTGGTGGGGAACGAACGCGCTATTGTCCTTTCCGGGGAGTAACGCGTTCACCACGACACCATGCGGGTCCTTTGCTTCGCCTGTCTCTCAGCTATTTCTATCGATCTTTGCCACAGCAATCACCCGTCAGCGGGATTGATCTGGGGCGCCCAAATCGGCATAGAACCCAGTTAAGCTGCGGCTGTAGTTTGAAATCACAATGTTAAACTTTTTTTTATTTTCTGCCTACTATAATTTCGCGGCAGGGTACTAAACGAAATACAACCACAACGTTGCTGAGATATAAAAAAGAGATAAATTATAGTAGACAGAAAATAAAAAAAGGTGTAACTGTTTCAAAAACTTTTACTTTTCATGAAGTCTTCAGTACCTGTACACCGGTTATTCCTTGGGTACTTATGATAATTTCCATTTCATCGTCCTCATGGGGAATAACAATACAGTTGCTTGTTTCGAGATAGAAGTGTTCCTGCATGCAAACAAAGTTCGCTTCGAAAGGTTTCTCTTACCTTTATATGATAGAGAACCTCCTTATCTGCCTCCCATCGGATAGTTTTTAGATGACTCTAGTCCTTCAAACTTAAATTGTTAATGAAGAAAATCACACAAACTTGTCCTCCCGTCCTTATTTCTCCTTCAACCACATGATCGTATCCACTCCAATCGTGTTGCGCAACAAAATCGTTTTCAAGTAATGAAGAATGAATAGCAAGTGGCCGTCCAAGGTAGGAGTCCGATTCGATTGCATCCTTCAAAAAGTTTATGGTCGCGGTGCGAAGAACGAAAAACAACTTCCTTACTAGCCAAGTAAGCATCGTACCTCAATGGAAATGATGGCCTTTTCTCTGTTGAATTTCAACTTGACGGCACTTGCAGCACGACGAGCAGTTTCGTGATCAACAGCAATAATCGCACCGATAGGTTGGCCATGATAGGTTATCTGAAACATCGCCACTTATAACCATGTCTGTTGGTACATGGAAGACGTTAATCTTTAAGCAAGAAATTAACAGAAGTGTATTTTAAACCACTTGAAGGAGTTTCTGCCTTAGAATACCATTTTTAGCAGTTAAACCAGTGTACGAGAATGTAGCAGTGGAAATTAGAAGTCAACTTTCGGCACCGAATGATCACTAGTTCAAAATACAATGCTCGAGCTTGCAACAAATTGCTACGAGGGACTTTTTCGACCTTGTCACAGAGAAACACCTCACACTTTGGTAGTTAAACCTTCATAACAATAATAATGTAAGCATGCCAATATGTTAACATCGAAACACTACAAGCGGCAATTGGTAACATGGTCATTAAGTGAGGGTAAGATTGTTTAACGTTTTGTTTTCTGCCTCCTACAATTTTCATGGCAGGTTACTAAGCGAAATACAACCACAACGTTGCTGAGATATTTGCAAAACTCTGGACCGCAGGTGTCTATGGTGGGGAACGAACGCGCTATTGTCCTTTCCAGGGAGTAACGCGTTCACCACCACACCATGCGGGTCCTTTGTTTCGCACGTCTCTCAGCTATTTCTATCGATCTTTTTGCCACAGCAATCACCCGTCAGCGGGGTTGATCTGGGGAGCGCAAATCGGCATAGAACCCAGTTAAGCTATGGCTGTAGTTGAAATCACAATGTTTAACGTTTTGTTTTCTGCCTCCTACAATTTTCATGGCAGGTTACTAAGCGAAATACTAAGCGGACAATAGCGCGTTCGTTCCCTACCATAGACACCTGCGGTCCAGAGTTTTGCAAATATCTCAGCAACGTTGTGAGGGTAAGATTGTTTTATGAGAGAATGCTTAAAAGTGACGTAGTAGTAGTTTTGCCATAAGTTGGTGGAGGAATGCAATACGCATGTATTATGCAGAATAAATCAGTAGTAGTTCAAGAGATACGCAAACCAGAGGACACATTTAAGATCCTGCAACGTGAGTTGCAATGACAATGGGATAGGGTTACATACTATATGTAAGCTCGTAACAACGTTTCGATTGGGTTAACCTACTAACGAGTGCATACAAAGTCGTGAGAACATTGGCGTGAGCTTATCGCATTAAAGAATACACATACGCTTGTGATAACATTATCTTGCAATGACCGCGCAATGAGCTTAATGTCTTAAAAACCACATACATAACACTAATATGAAGATAATGTGCAATAGTGACCACGTGGAATAATGGTTAATGACTTATATCATCTATGTGGAGGAAGGCATAAGGTGAACAGAAGGACCGTAATGGCACTAACCAGACGAAGAGGACAGTAACTCACGAAACAATTTAAATGCTCTCTGGAGGAGACGCTGTTTCGGCATAGGTTCAGAATTTGCTCGAAAACATTCGTCGACTACCGCTTCTTCACCGCTCGTGACAGAATCAGATAAAGGAAGGCAGATCTTCCAAACAACTACTTGTCATTCCTGTTACGATATGCGTGAAAGCTTTGAATAGAAACGACACACAAAACACTCTCCTTAAACAGATAGGTTAGCAAAGCAATGACTGTTTATAGAATGCAAAGTTTTTCAGAATGAGTTGAAAACATATGAATACCGCAAGACTGCTATGTTACAGAAAAAAAAGGATAAAGGATAAAGCTCTTGGCGTTGATCAATCCCTTACAGATACGCCATGCATTTGACTTTATTAAGCATCGCTTGGAAGTTATCGAATGTATATCTGGCCTTTATAATGACTAGCGGTGCCCTACCGATACCTCCAGCCAATGCTGCTATCCTCCCAAACAAGTCTGGTACCAATTTACCGACACTAGAAGGTTCGAATGCATGGTGAGCAGTGGGTTCTGGGATCGATTCCAGTGTGTGTTGCAAAGCGCCTCCGACCTTTGCGCCACATGCGCCACAAGAGGAAAACAGATGGTATTATTGCTACAGGAAGTGCGATAATTTTAAAAAGTAGTAACTATTCTTGGAATAAATCAAAAGACAGAGTTTCTATAAATTTCGGCATAATAATCGGTATATTTATGTATGTATATAGATGTATAAGTGTTTACATCGTTGAGTTTTCGCTAAGTAAGCTTACGTAATCTCAAAGATGTGAACAGATGTTGGATATTCTACTACCTAGGCTTAATGACGGTCGCTTCCAAAATAAATATTTAGGTTCAAACATTGCTAAAAAAAATGGCGACGCGAAAGACCTGAATAGTGTGGTGGTGAACGCGCTACCCACTGAATAGGGTAACAGCGAGTTCAATCTCCACCGCAGCCAGCTGCAGATCGAAGTTTTGTAAATATCTCACCATCATTGTATTTCTACTTCACATCATACCCTACCATAAAAAAGACTGGGCAGTAAATAAAAGCGAATACATTACTTTTATATATACATTTTCTAGATATATGGGTCGTCTATCCACATCTATCAACATCTATCTAGGTACGTCTATCTAAGTTGTGAAATCAACATGATGAACAACTTAGCTCCGGAGTTGAGCAGAAGGAAATGAGTGGTTTAGGAAACATTCAAGAGCATTGGGTTTGTAGTGAACAAAAAAAAGAACACCCGATTCCGTGCTCACCCTTTCGGCTCAACTGCACTCCCTGCCTTCACGTACGCGTCAGAAGCCTGGTCGCTGCACATGCAGAATGAAAGACTACTCAGTGCTGTTGAAATAGCAGTCGAAAGAACGATGCTAGGAGCATCCCGTTTCACACAAGTAAAGGATGAGATCCGAGGCTCCGAACTTGCCGAACACGTAATGCGTATGAATGACAACCGGTGGAGAAGAGCCATTAGTGATTGGATTCCTCGGGATGTTAAACGCACTGCAGGAAGACCACCGACTCGATGGTCAGAGCTCATAACGAAAAGCCTAGAAGAAAGATATGATGTTAAACGAGCCCCTAGAGCGAGCAGAACCCACTGGGCTATTCTTGCATGTGATTGAGAAAATGGAAGATTTAGTGGCACCCGCTCGATCACTCAACGATCATCGAGGCTACAGCTGGTGTAGGTGATTACTCTTCCTAGAACTGCTTTACGAAGGTAACATTGAGTGTGGTTTAAATTTTTTCGTTGGTGGGAAATATATGGAATCAATCGTGGAACTGTTCGCTCTTCCAAGATCTATATGTGACCCCATTTTTTTTAAATTCACGATCAACGAAAGAGCAGAAATTGAAAAATGAGGAATCATTTTATATATAGATATAAATATATATATATATATATTGAAATAATGGTATCATAGTGAACGTAGCTACACTTGAGACTTGGTACTTGAACGGCCCGCCCACTGGCTGTGCGGGCCGCGGAATAATCACCATTTTTCGGAGATTTGCTGGTTAAGTCATTGTGGTTCCCTGAAATTCCCAGTTCAGCTTGGCCAAAGTCTGCCCTAGGTCTTCACCACCATGGGCAGCCGCAGCCCTTGTGGGTCAGAGGGAGATTTGCCAGCATGTGACTATGACACCAGGACGATGGCAGATCCTGGCATTGGTTTACTCCTAGCTAAACTAGGCTTCTTAATGGAAACGCTGAACTCCTCAGCTTAGGAGAATCCGCTGGGAACGAATCCCTCCCCACAAATACAGCAGCAACAACAATGACGAACTGCATCAACCTCTCTTCGTCTCAACAAAGGCAGTTCGTAAAAACATAAATATAGGTATTCGTGGAATAATTGCTATACCTCCCACTGTTACGCTTTGAATACTGATGTTCATTAAACCTTCGCTCAGGTAATCAGTGTTCTGGTTCATTAATAAGATCACACGAGATTGTCATAAACTATGTTTGTGGGTGACGTTTAAGCTTCATTTCCTTCCTCAGAGGTAGGGTGATTCGTGTCGAGTGTCCACAGCTGTTTATTCTTGCGTCATGGGTTTTCTTAACCACACAGAGCTGAGTCGAGTGTAGTGGACCACCACACGAACGAAGTGATCTCACCCAGCAGATTTTCAGAAAGAGAAACAACTTTCGCTCGATGACCATCCATTATGATGAATTTTCACGCTGGTAATCAATTTTGTAGTACCGGAATAGATGAAGCAAGGAAAGGTCCCACAGCAACCCCATGTAAACTAGCAGATAAATGAAGATACTGAGTGTTCCACTATTATCATTCCACTGAACTACGGCGTATCCATGTAAAATTCACTTCATTCTTCTTCAATTCAACTTTGTTTAGTGTTATTCTCATCATTTTCACCAGATTTTCTTTTTTACTCAGCCTTTGCTATGTTTCTTTTAAAATATGCTGTTTTAAAAAATTGCTCTGGGATACTGTTCTTCTCTCACTTCCCGCGGAAACTATTGAAGTTGACCACCATTCTTCTGACTTAGTCTTAGCAAACCTTGCACAAATACTACATTTTCCATATTACGAATTTCTGAAGATTTATGCAAATTGGCATAGCAGACAACAAAGCCAGATCACCACTCTCTAATATCTTTCCACACTTGCTTTGGTTATTAGCTCAAAGCATTGACTCCCGCACAAAGCCATCGTTTTGGAAGAAATCAACGTTTGCATTCAGACGGAAAAACCGGCCTGGCTCTCTTAGAGCAGTAATGTATTCTGACTGGCACTTTCCGTAATTCTACCCACTGTCCTGTGCACCATAACATACCAATAAATGACGGTTTTGTTCACTTAACTATCTTGTGTAACTAATTATAGAGCTCTAATCTGCTCTGGCAAGACAAATATACGCATGAAGACGAGGTGAGTTTGATTTCTCTTAGCTTACCTTGTCTTTCACAAAAATTGGTGTATCGTTCATGTGGCCGATTTTGGCGCCTTCAGGCACATCACTGGCTCCAATGAAGTCGACGACACCATCCATTTCAAGCGCATCCGAAGGGTCCACGATTTCAAGAGTACCCGAAGCAATCGGGGACATAACAAACGCCATGTGCAGACAATCTAAATAACAACAATATAAGTTAATTATGAATTAGTTATTGCTACTAGCAATTGCTGTTAGAACAGCTAAAAGAGCATCGGGAGGTTAGGTGGCTTTATTCGAACGGTGCTCCACTGAAGCGGTGCTGCACTGAAGAAAATTCGACTCGATAGGATAATGAGGCACCACATCGAGACTACGAACGAGTGTGGACCATCGACTCGGATTATCAGGTTTGAGGAAGAAGAAGACGTCGAAATATTGGCCGAGTAAAACCACGTGTTAGCTTGCAGCGAAAGAGTAGATGATTAGTTGCACAGAGGTTAAAGGAAAGTGGGTTTGTAAATTACAGCAATTGCTCTATTGGCTTAGTATTCACGTTGTCACTATTATTCTTCAATCGCAAAAAGTTGTTTCAATACTGTTAAGGTGACACGTCATGGTTTTCTTGTTGGCTGGCATCCCCGCAAATAATATGTGATCCTTGTCATTTACTTATTTTGCTATCCTGTAGTTATAATTAATAGAGGTGTGACGACTTCGTATGTTGGTTCGGCTGCCGAAAGATTCATTTTTCGCACCAAGTTCCTTAACTTTATTGCTTATTTTTTATGAGAGGAAACTTGATATTAGTAACGCTACCGCTAGTATTATGTACTATATCACTGTAATCTTTAAGCATTTCGTGACGATCAAACTATCAGGGAATTTGGATGAGGTAAAACAATCTGGGAAAACAGGACTTCGAATGGGATTTTGCTGCATAGACCACATCCAAATCGTTTCCAGGGTCATAGAAGTTTGTTGAAAGCACGTCTACCCTTAATCCTAACTTTATCGACTGTTAAGAGGCATTGACAGCTTCGAAACCAAAGCAATCCTTTCAACGTTCGTCAACAGTGGACTCGCCCTTCATAACAACTATGTGACTGTTGCTGGAAATTGCGTCACGAAAATACAGTTTTCTCATCAAACGCTTACCAATGAGCTCACCCATAGAAAAAGGGATTCGAAAAAGTGACACCAAATCCTGAAAGCTGTCTACTGCCTTAGTGCAATGGATAATGAAGTTACTCGATTGAGAGAAAGATGGCTTGTGTGTCGATAGAAACACCTCGTGAAATCTCCGTTTTGCTGACGACGTCGTTATCTTTACCAGGAGCAACGCGATGATCAATGTGCTGAATAGACCAGAAAAAAAACATCGGCCTATGCAAAAAACGGAAAAAGGCACAGTTCATAAAAAAGGCCTGGTGCGCAGGTGAACAGATCAAACTAGATGGTTATCTGATTACACGAACCAACTCGCACGTGTATCTTGGGCGTTCAACAAACACTAAGAACAGCCTTAACCTTTTTTATTTACTGCCTATTCTTTTTGACGGCAGGGTATTTTCCAAAATATAACTATTACAATGCTGAGATATTTGCAGAACTCTGGACCGCAAGTGTCTGCGGTGGGAAACGAACGCGCTATTGTCCTTTCCGGGGAGTAACGCGTTCACCGCCACACTATATCAGTCCTTCGTTTCGCCTGTCTCCCAACTAGTTCTATGGATCCTTTGCCATTAGCAATCATCCGTCAACGGGGTTGATCTGGATGACTAAGAACTGGATGAAAAAGAAATTAGATAAAAGAAGGTGAGCAGCATGGACACAGCATTTGGGCCTGTTAAAGAATCCACCGATCAACTAACGAGCCCGAAAATCCGCGCTCACTTTACGATTTGTGGTTCTCCCAAAGCGCCCTGCAACACACACGCGGACTCGACCCTCGCGCCCATAGCCCACCAAGCCTTCCATCTCTCCGGAGTAGGCAAATTGGTACCAGACTTGTCTTGGAGGACAGCAGAACTGGTTCGATACATTGGTAGGCTAGCACGAGTCATTGTAAAAGCCAGATATACATTCAATCACTGCGAAACGATGTTTAATGAAGTCGAATGCATGGCGCATTCCTCAGGGATTGATCAACGCCGAAAGCTTCATCATTTTTTATTTTATCTTTCCTTTAGTTGTTTTTTTAAATGTCGAGGAGGGGCAGTGGCAGTGATGTCGATCATCACGAGCACGATGGTGCGTCGACCCCATCGCAGACTCACTAAGTCACCTTCTATCCAGGTCAAACAATTGTTACCAGAGCTGCCTGTTACAAGCTCACTTCTTCTAATCGATGTGGATATGCCCTGGTACGGCTCTCCCAGAACTTGGTGTAGAACAAACATTCAAAGAGGTTCATGAAAGGCCAAAAATTCCTCAAGCAGCAACCGAATCCATATCCTAATCTAGAGACTTTCATAGATGATTAATGCGAAAAAAAGAATCGAGTGTATGAAGTGTTGTGAGCAGTTGTGCACAGCAGATGCGAAAGATGGGCCGTGTAAAGTAATGTAGGTAAAGTGTTAATTATTTGCCGGACGCATCTAGCGGAGTGGTCAGAGAAGATAACCAAAACGCAGGTGACCACCGATTCGATCCCGTTTTCCACTCCAATAAAGCAACCGTCTAAGCTTTCAAGAAATGAATAAGCATTGGAAAAGTAAAACATCACAAAGCACAATAAAATTTAAGCTAACAACAGACTTGCTAGTTGCATATCACCGCAATAAACCGCCTCTCCGGTAACATGCTTCACCCCGGAAACGTGTGGAATTGCCCGACCCACAGGATCATGTGGAGGCTGATCGACTGGAACTTGCTGCAATTTTCAATTCGTTTATTTCACCAGGAAACTATCCGGACTCGGAATGCGCACCTGATAAACTTGTGTCGATTGGATTCCTTCTGGAATGGCTTGTCCGATAGAAGTAAATTCGCACCGATCGCTAATTTCTTCGATCTATAAAATAATGGAGAAAAAAGTGTCCGCTGCTGTTGTACCCCTTAGGGATACGTCATGTATTCAACGCCATTAATCATCGTGAACGTGATTGATTCCACATTTTCCCTATGTAATGACTTGCTGCGCTTTGCCGACGTGGATGAGTGACTAACCCTGTTCAACAGGGTCGGATCAAGGATTATGCGTACCGCAGAGCATTTAACCAGTGAGCTACGCATGCTATATAAAGCACATATAAGTAAAACTACAGGTAAAAGCCATTTAACTACTGTTGTAAAAATGAAGGGAGACGATGGAAACGGAATGTGTGGAATCTGTTAATGAGATATTCGATGGGTGAGCAATCGGATGATCTAGGCAGAATTTAATCTTTAAGCTGTTAATAGATTTGTGCTAGCAACTGCTGTACGGCTATGAGCACAAGATAGAAAAAGGCGGTACAAACTTATTACAGTTTAGTACTCACGTTTAACCTATTAACCACGTCTAGAAAGAACTTCAAGAAAAGACTGAGTGTGAGTGCCTGCCGATAGCGTGCCATTCCGCCAGGAACGCCAGGTGGAAGAGAAAACTCATTGGTAAGCAGTTCGAGACCTTCGTCAAGCAACGACTGGTCCCATCTCCTGTGACAAACTTTGGATTGAAAATGTTTAAAAAACCACAGAGACGCTGAGAAAATAAAAAAGAAACTCGGAACCACAGTCCGACTTCAAACCCGGCACTACACTTTCTGGGGCTCCCGTGCCATCCACCGCACCAAAGGAGGCTCTCGCCGTCCTTTATCTCATTCAGGGTTTTTTAACTCTAATTGTGCTTCCAAAAAATACCTGCCAACGGGAAAATCTGGGAACCACTAATCAGCACCGGAGCCAAGCTGAAGTTTTTTGAAAGACCTGAAGCTGCAGTGTTTTTCTTCCAAATTTAGTCATTTTTGAAACCAAAACGAATCCCACTTATCGTATAAGCTTGTGAAATGTATCTAATTCACAACAAGAGCAGTGCGGACGGGAAATGAAATAACTTTTCGTACGAGGAATTTTTCCAAAAATGGCAAAAAAGTTGTAATAAAACGAAACAGAAAATATTATACTCTTCCGGTAAAAAAGACCTTAATGCATAGATTCATTTCTAGTTCATCTTCTTAGGTCTAAAACAGCGATCTACTGCGGGAATTCAAGTAGTTAAGCAGCAGTTCTACCTTTCCATTCAAAACCTAAGAGCACTTCGAGCTGACTTCGTTTACGTTACTTTCAATGGCACCAAAAACTGTCTCAAGCAAAAACTACGATGATCTTCATGTTCCTTGAACAGAAATGAGTCGTTGAGCAGCTTTAACTAGCATGAAGAACAAACGGAAAATTTACTCGTTTCCACTTGAGCAGCTCGGTGAATAAAAGGATGACGGGTGGGTCATGTGATAAGGAACTGTCAACAACTTCAGGCTTAGTTCACGTTCAAAAAACGGGTGCACAGCTCACTTTCCTTGCAGTTGTTGCATAGTGTTCGAAGCGAGTTTCGTTGTTGGACCCATTCCACCGAAAGCGATTCGCATTTCTTGAAGAACAAGTGTCTTCGGATCAATGACAGCGTTAAAAGCGCCGGTGACGATAGCGATGTCATCTTCACGGCGTTGCGCTTGTTTGTAGACTTTGAAGAACTGGTTCTGAAAGAATCAATCACCTTTAATGTTGTTCATGTTTACTAGTAGACCATAAATAACTGTAGATAATGATAGACACTCAGTAAAAGTTTTATGTGATATGATAACTCTTTCAGAAAATTAGGATATGAGAGAAAAGTACTTAAACTATTAATTACTTCAGTATATACAGACGCGCTCACCTCTTTGGTAAATGGAATGAGTATCGCTTTTACCACCTCATCTGTTTCGATAGCCGACTTTCTGTAGGACAGAAAGAAGTGCTCGTCAATCACCAGATGACGAACACCACGTTCTTCGGACTCCAGAATAACCTGGGAAAAGCTTAACGTCAAAGATGAAAATCCTATTATAAAGTCTGATTTTTCGGGTTTCTATGATATAGCAGAAGCAGAAGAAGAAGAATAGTATAAACTGATAATATGCGTGTCCCGTAGTGCAAAGTTACTGCCACTTCACAAAGTTTGAATGAGTGTTTGGCTATCAAAAAGTTGTACTGCTCTCACTTATTTGGATCTAGTAAGCCTGGAAAAAATAGCAGTAATATATATATATATTTTGCAATATTTTGACGTTAAACCGAGTATCTAATATATTACTATATACAATTCGATGTCTTTATGCAATCTGAGCAGCTCCAAAATTTTTTAAGGCTCAGTGAAATAACCTATGAATTTTCTTTCCCAGCTATATACTTGAAGAAACTTGTAAAAATGTTCATTTTTTAAAAGCTCTACTACAAAATGACTATCGAGTACCAGTTTATCTTGCTGTAAACTGATCCCCTAGAAACAAAGGGCTAATGTGAATCCACGTGTTACCGAACCGAGCAGCTTATCTACGGCAAAGGCACCGCTTGGCGCTGAGCCATTAGTACGTTGATGACCACCGATAGCTTGCTACTACCTTTGCTCTCGAAGCCATCCATATGGGATTCAAGTCGGAGATGGGAGACGCGGTGACGAGGTTTCCGGCTATCGACTGAAAATAAAGGTGTATGGAGAGTGAAGAACATCGCTAAGATCGAATGACCATCATGTGCCATCCTATTCATTATGGTCTTTTCTTTTCTTTCTCTTCTTTTCTTGTATTGTTCGATTCCTGCTGCATTTCTTTAGCTGAAGCAGATTTTCGAGCGTGAAGAATCATTGCAGCAATCGAATGTGCACCAAAAGGTATCAGTCGTGAATTATTTATTCATATCGACCCGCAGCAAAGTTATGGGACACGGTTTCCTTGTGTTATACTTACCGCCACATTTCTCACATGTTTGCCTGCAAACCAATGCATAATTTTATGCACAGCTCTGAAGACGCCACATTGCTCCACTGAAAACAAGTACCAATCGATATTTTTCAACCATAATAAACAGAAATAGAAAAAACGAAATAGATGAAAAGTAAAAAAGTTAAGGTTACTTTACACATGCCCTGTAATGGCGACATTTATTAATTAGCATAAGGTATTAGCATTAGGTCCGGAGTTTTGTAAATATCTCAGCATTATTGTGGTTGTTGTTCTGCCGTGAAAAGTTGTAACAGGCAGTAAATAAAAAGTTATTGTGATTTCGACTGCAGCCGCAGTTTAACTTACCATTACCGTTCATTACCGTTTTGAGCTCCCCAGTTCTATCCCGTTGACGGATGATTGATGATGGCACTGATCGACAGAACTAGCTGAGAGAAGGAGAAACAAAAGACCCCCATAGTGTGGTGGTGAACACGTTAGCCCCCGTAAAGAGTAATAGCGCGTTCGTTCTCCACCGCAAACAAAGACGCCTGCGGTCAAGAGTTTTGCAAATATCTCCGCATCATTGTAGCATAAGGTAGTATTTCTATACCCAATGACAAAAGCTTTCAAGAGCAATTCAATATTTACAAACAATATTGTCCATAGTATGTCAACCATCTCAAATTTGAATCAAACATGAGTTGTGAATGTCCATACCAGGTAAGTTCTTCATATAGTGTAGAAGCCAGTTGTCGACTTCCGTAAGACTGAGGCCAGCTCCCATATAAACACCAGTGCTTTCTTGTCGCACCTCGTGTAGATCGGCCACCTGAATGCGTCTAGTGTCCATTATTTAAACAAAATTTCCACCCGCGAGCATTTTCATTTCCTTTTCTTATTCGCGTTTTGTTTGAAATTGTTTATCGGCAAAGAAAAAGGCAACTGGAATGTCTAATATCTGTTTAGTTGTCTATCAATTTCGCTAACTCCACTAAACATAATTTTCCTGTTCTCTAAAAAGCCGTAGTTAAACCTCGAATTGAAAATCACCCCTACTGATGACCGAGCTGGTTTCTTTTAAGACGGCTGATATCTTATCGACGACTCGAGCCCCTAAAAGGGCTGACGAGTTGAAGAACGTGTAGTACAGAAGGAGTTCTGACACATAACTCAAAAATTTGTGATGCAAGCTCCAATGACAATAATAGATAGAAAAGCTTCGTAGGAAAAAAGAGCTTATGAATGGCAAGTAAACAATCAATGTAATGTTTGGAAAATATCTTCGGTCAATCACTGCTTGCATTCTCAGATCTATGAAAACACCATGGACACTTTGTAGAGAAATAAGAGAATAAATTCACTACTTTTTTCGCACGGTTATATCCAAAGGACAAGCGACCAGAGTGTTAGGAAGGGAATTTTAAGAATACGCCAATTAAACTATGCTTTTAGAAGAAAAATTTTCTTTACGCAAATCCTACTTCTGCACAGAGCTTACCTGACGAGGATTGATAACGATTTTCAGCTCGATGAAACGAAACTTTAATTCGACTGCCAATTCCGAATTTCCAGATATGAAACGTGCGTAGGGATGAAGTCGTTTCAATTTAAGTAGAGCACTAAAACAGATTGTATACTTATGTCACTTGTTTGTCTGCTTTTCGATCACCTACTTCTTTTCAATTCACAGAACCTATAAATTAGTGGTAAGGGCGCGTGTGGCGCAGTGCTCGGAGGCACTCTTCAACATACACGTGGAATCGATCCCCGTGACCATAGCCCACCAAGCCTTCCATCTTTCCGGGGTAGGCAAATTATTACCAGACTTGTCTTGAAGGACAGCAGCACCGACTCGATACACCGGCAGGTCACTGCGAGTCACTGTAAAGGCCAGATATGCATTCAATCACCTCCAAACGTGCTTAGTTAAGTCGAATGCATGGCGCACCCCTTAAGGATTGATCAATGCCGAGAGCTTCATCCTTTACCCCTAATAAGGTAGTGGTTAGAGTTGGTGTCGTCTATGCGCCATACACGTTGTTCTGACTCTGGTTAAGCCCAATAAGCTCTTATCCTCTTGAAGTCGGCGAATTAGTACCAGATATCTCTATACGGAAAGCTTCCTTTCGATTTACAAAGGACAGCGACTGCCCGTGGTGAAGATATAGGGGAGCTGTAGTAGCACTATTCCAGGATTCTATGCAGAATCAATCGTACCACAGTATCTAAGGACATCCACTAAGAAGACAAAATCTCCAAGTAGTAGTCAACACCCAATGCAAATCCGAGAATCCGAGAATGATCGATGCATGGCGGCGAACCGATTGGAGCACGTGCTAGGAAACGACGTGAGGAGATGAAAAATATGAATAAAGAAGTGAATAAAACAAATAAGTATTATTTGCGATCAACGAATGAAATCATATGCATGTGAAAGCGAAACTACGCGAGAAACTTCAGCCGAAACACGGGAGTCAAATTATCACATTTACTTCATCGTGAGCTTGCTTTTCTGCAACCCCTCATGACCCTTATGGTTGATCGGCTTATTGCAGGATGGAAGGTACATATCTGGATGTTGAATTCCAGTGCACGACAGCGGTTCACTATCTAAAGAGAGGTTATTCAAACTAAGAAAGGTTCGAGCAGTCGGATACCACTTCATCCGACAGAAAACAATTAAAAGAAGTTCCAGCCGACGAAGATAACAAGCATCCTAACGGTGCACAGACGCTAAAGATTCAACGTGGTAAAGCAGTCTGGATGAACTCTAAATACTAAATTCAATTGGTCATTTGGAAATACTCCGTAACATTTGTGAAGATGAATCATTTAAACAGGTGGATAACTTTTTTAACGTTTTCTTTGTTATTTTTATATACAACTCTTTAAAAAACTAGTGCACCACCTGTACGACGTAGGTTGATACCACTTAGTTTCATGATGATTGTATGCGAAAGAAGAGAGGTGAAGCGACTTTGTCTGAAAATTGAACAACTGTTTGATGTCTTGACGCTATATTGAACTTTTCTTTATAAATATCAAATTATCTTGAAGACCAGAATGTGCCTACACCTTGGCTTTTATTTTAGACCTAGTAATATTAATAATGTTGGCAGTTCCAATATTTCTTTCTTAAAAAAGCATAAAACGCTCGGTGTTGATCAATCCCTGAGGAATACGCCATGCATTCGACATCACATCATCGTTTGGAGGTGACTGGATGCATACCTGGGCTTTACAATAACTCGCGGTGGCTTAGAGCCAGTGCTGCTATGCTATCCTCCCAGACAAGTTTGGCACCAAGTTGCCGACCCCGGAGGGACGAAAGGCATGGTGGGCCATGGGCGCAGGGACTGATTCCACGTGTGTGTTGCGACCACTGCGCCACAGGCGCCCTTCCTCTTAGGAAGACAAAACAATAGACACAGTATAAAAAAGTAGGCAAGCAAACTTTATAGCAAACTTAAGTCGCTTACTTGAATTTCGGGCGGAAAGATTATCTCTTGAGAGGGATCGTAGGATGCCACGTGTGAAAGGTCGACGAGTTTAATTTTCTGAATATTGTTGAATATATTTGGTCTTTTTATCAGTCCTTTGAAAAATAGTAGTAAAAGAAGTTTTTCTTCTTATTGAAATTTGTGAATTGCGGATATTATTAGTTTTCTCCAAAGTGCAACGCAGCGCTGCTCGCGCCCATGTGCGAGTCGCTCTCCGTTGCTCTCCATTCTCAAAGACTGCACCACAGAGCCTTCTAGTTGGTAGCCAATCTTATTCATTTTCAAAGGGTTTTACACTAGTTGAGTGTGTAAGTCTTTTTGCTCGTTCCTCTTTTCCGTTGTCGTCTATCCCTCCCATTAGAGCCTATCAACGTTTCGTTTTCAACATACAAACAAAGCGTTCGGCATTAATTGCTCTCCGGCGCCCAGACGGAACAGTTACAGCATCCAGAAAGGCAATGGGGAAAATCATTCAGGAATACTACTCGGATCTCTTTCACAGCCACGTCCACCTTCCGTCATATGAAATAAAGGACGATGGATATGATGGACCATCGGCTTTTCATACGGAAATCGATATGCCATTTCATCGGTGAAAAATCGAGCAGCACCAGGTCCGGACAGCATAAGACCAGAATGCCTGAAGAACCTTCCGCCAGTCCTCGTAAACATACTGGCTCAGCTCTTCACACGTTACCTGTCTGAATACAAGGTCCCTTCTCACCGGAAAACCAGCAAGACCGTGTTATTGCTCAAGAAGAGTGACCTACACGATATCGCCCAATCTGCTTACTGTCTGCCGTCTCCAAACTTTTCACTCGAGTCATCCTAAACAGGATTGACAGAACACTAGACGAAGGACAGCTATGTGAGCAAGCAGGGTTTCGAAAAGGATTTAGTACCATGGACTACAGCCACACGGTAACAAGGCTCACTGAAATATCGCGAGAGTACAAAAGACCGCTCTGTCTCACTTTCATCGATTTACAGAAGGCCTTCGATTCTATTGAGATGGAAGCAGTCTGGGAAGCTCTTGATTGTCAAGGAGTCCTTACTCAGTACATAAAGATTCTTCGTGAGCTGTACAAAAATTTCACAACCAAGATATCACCATTCTACGACGATATTAACATTGACGTCAAAAGAGGGGTTAGCAAGGCGATACCATCTCGCCAAAATTATTGACCGCCACCCTCCAGAACATCATGCGAACATTAAAATGGGATGATACGGGAGTGAAAATCGACGGTCGGCAGTTACACCATCTTCGCTTTGCTGATGACATCGTCCTTATAACACCAAACATTAGTCAAGCGGATGCTTGACGGCTTTGATAGAGCCTGTGGAAAGATTGGTTTACGTCTAAATCTCACAAAAACAATGTTCATGAATAACGGATTCGTTTCGCATGCCCTATTCACGCTCAACGGAACGAATATCTCTGAATGCTCCAGTAATATCTATCCAGGTCAGGAAATCAATATGATGAACGACCTAGCTCCGGAGCTGAGCAGAAGGAAACGGGCGGTTTGGAGATCTTTCAAGGGCATAGAGGACGTAGTGAAGAGAACAAAGAACACCCGACTATGTGCCCACCTTTTCGACTCAAAGGGTACTTTCTGCCTTAACGTATGCGACAGAAACCTGGTTGCTGCGTAAGCAGGATGTATAGAGAACTTCTCTCTTGAAAAGTTCTCTATCTATCTAAATAACAGTATTTGAAACCCAAATATGGCCGCCTCGCTGTCGGACATCAAACACCGCAATGTAACCTTTGTAATCTTCTCGATCAATTATGTTCAGTGTTTCAGGCACAATAGCGATTCAGGTGTGACTTCAGTAGCATAGCGACGATGGCTTATCCGAAGGAGGCGTAACCATAGAACAGTTTACTACTTCCTTGCGAAACAACGAAGCTAATGACGTTTGATGTTTCAGGCAGTTAGGTACAGTCTATTGTGGTCCAGGATCAACAATCCAGATTAACCGCGGTTGCATACGCTCGCGGCTCCCGCAGCCGATATAAGCCAGGTGCCTTCGACGGCGGAGACATGCCATCACTCACCTTAGCCCCGATCGGTAGCGCGGATAATCCGCTTCTCACAACCACATCCTCAATCATCCTCAATCACCTCAACTCATTCTTAGTCATAGTCATTCATTCTTATTCAATTACATTCATTCACACATTCATATTCATCCTTCAGTAATCAGCAGATTATTGTATCTTGTTTCTCAGCTTGTCTACGGTGTGATGTCAGTAGTGGCGGATGTTACCAAATGCGTTCTGTTTGCAACGCCATCGGTGGCATGTACCATTCCTCCCACAATGTACACGCAATGTGTACAATGCCGCTAAGCGGCCAACTTATGCTATGCATTCTGCTAAGCCGCTATAGGCTTATCAGTTTTGTAGCCATTTATAATACTGGCCCTTACCCTTAGGCAATGGTGGCACCAATCGATGCTCAAAGTTCACGTTGTTGACATAGCGTTATTCACGACCAGCCGCGCCTGACTGTGTTCCGTAGATGATTCATCATTCACTGTTCATAGCGCCGTCAACGCTCATATAACTTACAGTCCTCATCGATCCACTAAAATGCTCCTCATCGCTGTAATGTTGAAATCTTAGCTTCGCCGAAACACGGCCAGTCTGTAACCCTCACCACCTCAGCATACTGTCTCCATCTCCGCGGCATACAGTCTCCTCCCTCCGCCCCCAGCATACTGTCTCCCTCAGCCGCCGCGCCGGCAGCGAATAGACGCGGCGCGGCATCGCTTACGGCTAAGCAAAGGCTACTTCGTTGTAATCTCATTATTATTGTTAATATTGTGTTAATGGTATAATAATGTTTGAATATCATTGCCTCATTGTTTGTATTTATGCATTAAAGGTTTAATTACCCAAGTTTGAGGTTGATAGATCAACTACAGCTACTAAAAGACCTGCGTGGCTAATATTCTACATCAATCTGAACCGCTACACTTCGTCGCTAACCCCTACGTTACAGGATGAAAGATCACTCAGCGTTATTAGACGCACAGTCGAAAGGACGATGCCTGGAGTATTCCGTTTCACACAAGTAAGGCATGGGATCCGAAGCTCCGACCTGCGTCAACGATCAAAAATCAAAGATGCCGTTCTGTACGCCAAACAATCGAAAATTTGGTGGGCCGAACACGTAATGCGCATGAATGACAACCGATGGACAGGAGCCGTTAGTGACTGGATTGCTCGGGATGTCAAACGTACTACATGAAGACCACCGGCCCGATGGTCAGAGTTCTTCACAAAGAACCTAGAAGAAAGACATGATGCTCGATGAGTCCCTAGAGCGAGCAAAAGCCATTGAGCTACTCTTGTGCGCGACAGTGAAAAATGGAAGATTTACTGTTGCCCGCTCGAGTCACTCAACGATCAATGGGACTACAGGTGATACAGGTGACAGGTGATGAGGAATGTGTCACGAATTCAACTACCTTCATAGTAATGCAAATGTGGCTGAATGCATTTTTGGCTTACACTATAACTTGCGGTTTTCTATGCTTTTGTTCTGCCGTACAAGTCTGGTACTCATTTGCGGACAGAGGGATTGCTTAGCCCAAGTTGTGGGATGGAACCATGTGGACAGGGTATTTGACAGTGATCCAAACTGACAATGCCATATGACCTACACGCCGGTCGTGCTTCGGAAAACATTTTTGCACCGATAGGTTTCTCTGTTCTTCTTGGAAGCACCACGTAAAAATTGCGGTTGCTTAAAAGTGCGTTGTAGGATATTTGCGGTCGAATAGGCCATAATGTAGTTATTGTGTAGCTAAATGGCAGCTTCAAAAAATCGAATGCATCCGTGTTTTTCTAAGCCTTCTCTATATTTCCATTCTGATGTGATTTCCCATCTGAGCGCTCTCGTGACCTGCACCTAATCTCCTGTTTTCTTTTGCGGACTGGACAAGGCCTGATTTTCAGCCTTTATGGATTTGATGAGTTTGGTTTTTTGAAAATGAACAGAAATTTCTCGACAAATGAGAGAGTTTGTGGACTATGAAGATGAATGGCTGTAAAAAAAAAAAATTTTCTCTATTGTTCTAAGGGTATGAATCATATTGCTGATGTTATTTACTATATTTTACTGTGGTCGACCATACAGCCACATTACTGTGAGCATTTGGGAGTAATTTGTAACTTGCGAGTTCCTGAAGCAATAGTTTTTATGGACGCACACTCTATACGGCAACCACAAAACACTTTAGCCATTAAAATTGAAATCGTAGTTGATTGGCACCCAAATTCCAGGTTAGTGCATTCAGTCAGAAAATGGTTTTTTGTCTATGTCTAGGTGTAGAATAGAGTTTTTCCAGTTCAACGCACAATACAAGATCTGTGTTCCACGAGCCATCAATTGATAACAACTAGGGTGGAAAAATCGTCCCATTTGTCAAAATAGACCACCGGAAAGAAACCGAGACCTAATGGCGTCTCGTCCACCACTCCCGCAAAACCGTTATGGCACCTATAGGTGCCTCTCGTTGCGACAGTGTTAATAAGTGCCCAAAACAAATTACATCTAGTTTCAAAACGATTGAGTTGATGCGATTGTAATGATCAGCATAGCGAGCTCTTGCAAAAACCTTTGAAAAATCAGTACGAGTCATTGAGCTTCCGAGGAAAGCGAGAGTGCCGAAATGTTGATAACAAGAAAAGTTTTTACGAAGTTTCTTCTATAACAACTTCGTGTGTTGTCAGTAATCCAACAAAAGATTGCATCGTCATGCCAAGTCAAATTAAAGTTGGTTTTCGAATGCACAGTGAGGAGTTTGTGAATTACTTTTTATTCTAGCAAAAGTTTTAGGATCTGGTACAGAGGTAGTGGAGCGGAAAGGAATGGACAAGAACTTTCCCGTTATCAATTCCATGAAGTAGTGGTAGACAGATTGTGGCATTTAGTACGACATTCTTATCTTAGATAGCTTTGTATTATAGTTATTCAGTCTGCATAGGGAGGGTAGTGCTAGTGGTGCCGTTTAATACGGGCAAAGTTTTGGCTCAGCGTGATTCAAGCCAACCAAGCTTATCATTCCTCCGCGGTCGGTGAAAAGGTTCCAGAATTGTCTAGAGAGCCTTCGATTTACAGCACATAGGCGTCCCACAGTACGGCTATCCAAGCTTCCAAGGAATATTGACTCAACTGGATCAGCCTTCAACAACTTTCACAGTAAAGACCGAAGTCCTCGAGCGGAAAATGTGAAAGATCCGAAGACAATCTTGAATGATGTTGCTATTAAACCAATCGAATGAAAAAAGTGTTATAATCGGCAAAATATACGTGAATATCGTATAAAACAAAGTGCAATTAAGATTTACTCAGGAGCTTATTCCTCCTCTCACCTCTTCTCGATAGCACTTGCTGATGAGTATTCCATCGCATTTAACATCTGCAGTGGGCAAACCATCATTGATGGATCCATTATTGAGTTGGGCTTCGTTCACCTTCTAAAGCTACTATAGACACTTATAATTAGTCTGGAACATTCATATACATTAAAAATTTGTTCATCGGTTCGAAGCCATGTGAAAAGAAGTTCTATGTTTTTCCGTCACTTCTAAAACTGGCTTTTTATTTTGACCATTCAGATCTCTATAGAGTAAATGTCTTTTTCCTAAAAATAGCTACAAGTTCCCAGGATCGACTTTCTCTTAACCTCGGCATTGGAATATGAATGCGTCGTTTTCTTGTTCAGCAATAGCGAGGTTTTTAAACAGCATACATTTACTTCCATAAAAACACAATATAATACAACGCTAGCTGACGTTTCGGCAGTATCGCCTTCTTCAGAGCCTGGAAGGGTATGCTGATATACAATCTACTAGGCCAAACGCTTCAATAACACTTACAAAAAGTCGAAAAACTCCACAGTAATTACATGATCAACAACTTCTCGAAAAAAAAACCCACCGCTTTTTCGTGACTTCCAATGAGGAAGTTTAGAACAGCTGATTATAGTCGCATGTGGTTGACGACTGCACCATCCCACATCAAAAATCGATGCGAACGTACGGGATCAGGTCGCGTATGACCTCCGGGCATTCATCCCTGTTATTCATTGTAGGGTTTTTGGCATTGATCCAAAAAGCCTCTAGGAGTTTTCGCGCTGGTGTTTTGGACATCTGTGCAAGGATATTCACTTTTACTTCAAAATCGTCTCCGCTATGCTTTTGTATCCTATGCGTGCTTAGTGGGGTGCTTCGTCTTATTTTCGTTTGCCATCTAGGTGTTCTTTTATACGGATACACAAAGGTCTGCCTGTTTTGCCAATATATACATCTCCGCAATTATTACAAGAGATCAGGTACATAGTACCGGAACTCATGCAATCACCGTCCCTGCCGTAAGGACAAACTACGCAATTTGTTGTTTCACACAGACGGTCATACAGGCGTTCAAATAAACCTATCAAGTAGCTGTTACTTGACAAAGTGCTATCGGAAGCCAAGTAACAAGAGTAACCCCGTTCATTTCCTCTCTTCCCACCCTTCACACACAAAAAGTGCTTTTTGAGAAAGGTGTTTCGAACAGCCACCTCTCTGTGCGCAACCAGGGAACTAGAAAAAGATTTGCGCGACAATTGCTATTTTATCGCATGCCACGTTTTTGTGCGGCTGTAAGGTTAGAGATAAACTTTCTATCGCGGTAGTGATTAAGGGTCTTGAGAACGCCGTCCGAAAACATGCGGAATTTTACGTCAACTCCATCGTTAGGGTACTGCTGTCTAAAAAACGTTGTGGGTAAAGGAGATGGTGGTAGTATCGGCGTCTTTTGATTTTTATCTCTATTTGATGTTCCTCGTTTGGTCTGATAGCGAAGTCGATCTTGAAGCTCATAAAGGTTGCATGCTATCCTATGCAGGGTCGTTTTAGAAATGGACTGCGATGGTTCAAAACTTGGGCCCAATTCTAATAGAAAACGCGCACTCTCAGGTATTGTTATGTTCCCAATCACGGTGACCCTAGATTTTCTTTGTGTATTATCAGCTCTATCATCATCAACCATATGCGACTTTAATCAGCTGTTCCAATGTTCCTCATTAGAAGTCACGTAAAAAGCGGTGGGTTTTTCGAAAAGCTGTTGATCATGTAATTACCAAAGAGTCTTTCGTCTTTTTGTGTTATTGAAGCGTTTGGCCTAGTAGATTGTATATCAGCATACCCTTCCAGGCTCTGAAGAAGGCGATACTGCCGAAACGTCAGCTAGCGTTGTATTGTATTGTGTTTTTATGGAAGTAAATGTATGCTGTTTAAAAACCTCGCGATTGCTGAACAAGAAAACGACACATTCATAATAGCTACAAGCTTCCTACAATCTGGCGATTTTTTAACGAACCTTATCACTACAGTGTCCGTTTTTTGTTACCTTGCAACAGTTGTCGCCCATCTCACAACCATTGCCGTTGACGATCGCCTACAAAACACCTTAAATAGTACTAAAAACTCGCTGTATTTCATATTTTTTCGTCCTGCCTTAACATCTCACCTTTATATCAACATCATCTTTTACGGCAAAACTGTAAAACGCTTCGAGAATAGGTCGATAACCCGTACATCGACATAGATTTCCTAGGCAGTTGGATTCGTTCAATCGAACTTGTACCTTGTAATGATTTAGTGCCTATGAGTAATGATGAGTTGACTTATCGGTATTGACTGTAACATAGAGTGAATATTTTTTTCATATTTTTTTGACTCTCATTGCTTGCACTGTTGTTGTAAGCACGACATAAGAGTTTTTCAAAAGCTAACGCATTGAAAATTTTCTATGACTCCTTAAATAGAGATGAACACAGAAGCACTGCTTTAATTTTGGAGAAGAATAACCTTTTATTGAGGTTGAGGATGTGATCAGATACTAATAAATCGGCTCTATAAATCCTTAATGGACCACAGTGATCGCTCTCAATTCTACGGATCAACTTCTCAGTGTGTTTTCTGATTCGATTGACGTCCACGTATGCCACCCGTAATATCGCTAAAAGTGCAAACTCGTGCATTCACAATCTTAACCGTTTTATTTACTGTCTACTCTTTTTAATGGTAGGGTATATTGCGAAATATAACGTCAACGGTGCTGAGATTTTTGCAAAACTCTGGACGGCAGATGTTTGTGGTGGGAAACGAACGCGCTACTGTCCTTTCCTGGGAGTAACGCGTTCACCACCACACCGTGCGGGTCCTTCGTTTCGCCTGCCTCTCAGCTAGTTCTATCGATCTCTGCCATCAGCAATCACCTATCAGCGGGATTGGTTTGGGGAGCCAAATTACCTGCGGTCTGGAGTTTTGCAAATATCTCAGCACCGTTGAAGTTATAACTCGTGTATTCACTACTAAATCCGACTACCCTCCTGAATCAGTTGATACACACCCAGTGGGTGGCGCTTGTTCGAGGGAGAGGAAGACCATCGAACTTTTACTAGCATACGCTATTTTCACTGTTTCTCGAGAAGGGATACCACCAGTAACTCTCTGGCTTCTGGCTCAGCGAGAGTCTACTCTTACATGAAAATGTGGATGAAAACATTGAACTTCTTCTCACGTTCCATCAACTTCCTAGGCCGACAAATCCATTCCTGCACTCCGCAATTCGAACCAGTGATCCTGTATCGCCCTTCAGCCGTCGTCTCGTTCCTCGTCGAGTGGTTCGAGAAAACGCCAGATAGCTTTAGATCTATTCATGTCGTGAACAAGAGTATGTGTGAGTTCTGGTCGCTTTAAGTACTATCTCAGCATCATATCCTTCTTTCAGGACCTCGGTGAAAAACTGTGATCATCGGATAGAAGGTATTCCTGCTTTGCTTCTGACATCCCGAGAAATCCAGTCGCGAACGGCTCGTGTCAGAGGGGTGCCGTTCATATGCATTACGTGTCCGGCCCACCTTATCTTCGACTGAATATCACCTGTCATCTGTATCACCTGTAGTCCCGTTGATCGTCGAGTGACTAAAGCGGACCCCAGTAAATCTTTCATTTTTCCCTGTCGCGTGCAAGAGTAGCCCAATGGGTTCTCCTTGCTCTACTCATTGAGCAGCATATCTTTCTTTTAGGCTTTTCGTGAAGAACTCTGAGCATCGAGTCGGTGGTCTTCCTGTAGTGCGTTTAGCATCACGAGGAATCCGGTCACTAAAGCCTCTTGTCCATCGGTTGTCGTTCATACTCACTATGTCTCCGGCCCATCTTATCTTCGACTTTTTAGCGTATAGAAGGGCAACTTTGATTTTTGATTGTTCGCGCAGATCGGGGCTTCGGATCTCTACCGTTACTTGTGTGAAACAGGATACTCCTAACATCGTACCGACCAGGTTTCTCATGCATACATTAACAAGGAAGTACCGTTGATCCGAAGACGACGTCAGGTGTTCTTTGTTCTCTTTACTACATCCTCGATGCTCTTGGAAGATCTCCAAGCCTCTCATTTCCTTCTGCTCAACTTTGGAGCGAAATCGTTCATTATGTTGATTTCCCGAGCTAGATAAACGTAACTAGAGCATTCGGAGATATTCGTTCCGTTGAGTGTGAATAGGGTAAACGAAAGCAATCCGTTTCTCATTAACATCGTTTTTCTGAGATTTAGTCGAAGACCAATCTTTCCACAGGCTTTATCAATGTCGGCAAGCATTCATTCTGCCTGGCTAATGCTTGGTGTTATAAGGGCGATGTCATCAGCAAGGTGAAGATAGTGTAACTGCCGAACCATAGATTTTCACTCCCCTGTTATACCATTCCAATGTTGGCATGACGTTCTGGAAAGGTTAGCCAAATAATAATTTTACAGCAGTCTCGCGTTAATTAAAGCAACCAAGAAAAACCTAATCACTTCGAGGTTAAAGACAAGTTGGCTTTTAAAATATTTGCTACTTGATTCCTAAAGCTGGGAACAGAAGAGTGCCTGCCTATTGAAAGAGGCAAAAAAAATAAGTTTGTGAGATCCTCGTAGTGACCATAATGTCTGTTGTGGTGTTCACAACTTTGTATGAATACCAAGTAATAGGGAATATTAGTCTCTGTAGCTGCCATGCTGGTCTTCGGTGTATTGTTCACTGAACCAAAAGCCTCGAAAAATACTATGCTTCTAAGTTTTATGACTGCATCACCTGTATCACCTGGAGTCCCGTTGATCGTCGAGTGACTCGAGCGCGCGCTAGTATATCTACCATTTTTCTCTTTCGCGTGCAAGAGTAGTTCTGTGGGTTCTGCTCGCTCTAGGGACTCATCGAGCATCATATCTTTCTTCAAAGCTCTTTGTGAAGAACTGTGACCATCGGCTCGGTGGTCTTCCTGAAGTACGTTTGACATGCCGAGGAATCCAGTTACAAACGGGTCTTGTCCATCGGTTGCCATTCATACGCATTACGTGTCCGGCCCACCTTATCTTCGACTGTTTGGGGTACAGAACGGCATCTTTGATTTTCCATCATTGATGTAGGGCGGAGCTTCGGATCCCATCCCTTAAATTCGTGAAACCGGATACTCCTAGCATCGTCCATTTGACTGAGCATTCGATAACGCTGAGTGACCTTTCATCCTGCTTAGGCAGAGACCAGGTTTCTGACGCATACGTTAAGACAGGAAGTACCGTTGAGTCGAAAAGGTGGGTACGGAGTCGAGTGTTCTTTATTTCCTTCAATATAACCTCGATGCACTTGAAAGCTCACCAAGCCGCTCGCTTCTGTCTGCCGAACTTTGGAGCTAAGTGGAATTTCATGAACTTTAACTCGTTGTACCGCTACCAACTAAGTGTTTTAGTTTGGATATGCCTTAAATCGAAGTAACCTCAAACCTTGTAATGCTTCGTTGATATCGGCTTCTGTAGGAATGGGATTATTTCTCAGCAATGCATACATTGCCATCACAAAACCAGGTGTACAGAAACCGCATTGTGAGCCATGACTTCTTAAGAGTGAAGCGTTAATGAAAAAAGGTTACTAATGACTCTGGAAAAGCACTCAGAAAAACGGATATGTAGTCAAAAAATAAAATCAATAAATTGACTTGACACGTTTTTCATAACAAATTGGTCTTCCATAGCAGTTTCCTACATGTTCTAACAGTAATCTATTAATAGCTTGTTAATGCTGTTTGATCAAACAAGGCATAACTATCTCTAAACGGTGTTTTTTTCATTTTGGTTCCAAAGAATATATGAAAACTATGTTGCATAAATTCCCAAAAAAATGGCTGTGAGAATGTTTGCGTCGATTTAAGGGTGACTTTAAAATAATGCAAAATAGAACGAACGCTGCCAATCGTTCTTGTATTGGATGCAGCTTCTTGTTGACAACTGAGCCAATCCCCTCGACCGTGGTGACCGCTTTTCCGAAAACAGCGCATATTGGCAGCAGGCAGGCATTGGCCGAGTAGTGCCTAAAACCTTTCCTACAAGCCTTTTGTACAAGTCCATACATAAAGTCTTGCTCTTTGACTACAAATATAAGCAGGGATTATTGGATGATCGCATAATAGAATGAACCAGTTTCAGGAATTGTAAGAATCGCAAAACGATTTTTCTTTGAGCATTACCATAAGTACAATCAAATATTCATTATGTGTGATAAGACCACAATGATGCTGAGATATTTGCAAAACTGCGGAACGCAGGTCTCTGCGGTCAGGAAGGAACGCGCTATTACCCTTTCCGTGGACTAACGCGTTCACCACCACACCATGTGGGTCCTTCGTTTCGAAAAATTGTAATAGGCAGTAAGTAAGAATGTTAACATTAAAATATTCATTATTCATAGCATATGATCAAGTGAAAATGAGTTACAAAAGTTCATGATAGTTTGCAAGATTATGTCCACATCATCGCCACAGGAAGCAGTCGATGTTTGCTGATCGCAGGAAGAAATGCCGCTTTTCAGTTGAGTATTCTTCATGGCTGCGCTAGTTAATAAGACAGTACTGCTCTCAGCTGAGCTTCCTGAACAAAATTTCGGACTTCGTTGTTTGCAGACGTTGACCGAGGATGAACCCGTACGATATATCTACTTTGAACACACGGGAATTCCTTCTTAACTAAGGCGGCTATGCGAATCATAAGATAGATAAAGTATAACTATTAATTCCGATAACCGACTTCTTATAAAAACCCCGGCAATGACCAACAATTTGCCGCTTTCTTGTTAAGCAAGTATGCAGTTGTTATTTCATTCTTTATTCACAAAAGAGCTGACAGCTCGGTGTATTCCGTCTTCTTCAGAACTTGGGTAAAGCTGGTTGCAGTCTAGTTAGCAAATACCTCTATAACCCTGAAAAGAAATTTCACAAAACCTAGATTTCAATCGCTGTGAAAACAAAATGGTTTCCTCGCATTCCCGCGGCTTTCTTTGTGGCTTCTACTGAGTATTCTGTATTTATTAATACCTATGTCTAATATCGAGAATTGCAAACACTTCTAGTGCCTTGATTAGAAGTGCACTGAAACAAACATGGATTGATTTGATTCCGCATACTTGGCAAACCGAGTGCTCCACCTCTCCGGGACCAGTAAATTTGCACTAGAAATGTATGGGGAAACCTCATTCTGATACATAAAGACCGATGTGTTCGTGTAACGAAGACCTCAGCATAGTCAACTTTTCTACCAGGCAATCCAAGGATTCAGTGGAAAATCAGCTCGCCCACTATTCAACTACATTGGCCTAGGAGGCAAAGGCGTTAAGTAACAAGTCTGGCCATAAACAAATTCAAAGATATTCGTGGCTGTTGATGTGAGACAACAAAGCGAATAAAAGAAGTGTTGGGACCAGTACAATAGTCGACTGCAGCTTATAAAGATGAATAAATAAACAATTTAGAAGAATTATCGCTCTAACCTTATTTTATTGTTGGAGATATTGATCTCACTGATCATTACGGTACACGCCCCACATCCTCCTTCATTGCAGCCAATTTTCGTCCCCGTTAAATGTACTGCAAATGAATTAAATCAGGGACAGAAGACAAAATTAGTGTAGAAATAAAACAAGACACTAAATATTTAATATGTCTGTACCCTATCAAAGCAGCACATGGTGGCCTTACTTTCACGCTAGTCGAGAACTACTCTTAAGTCACCTTTTTCCATTCCATTTCATTATGGAAAGAGTAGTAATATTACAGCTGGTAAACATTCTTCTATAAAAATATTTCAGTGCTTTAGGAAAGAAAAGTAAATCTACCACTAACAGTGGTCACGCAAGTAAGTGGCCAACGTGGTCTTCGGGTCGACACGATCCTCTTTGATACGGTGACCGTTCACGTAGAAGATTAGCGTGTTATACTCATACGAAGAAATATCATCGACGTCGATTGTAAGAACCATTACACAGTTTAATACACCAGATATACAACCTAGCTCAGTGACACTTGTTTCGTAAGAATTTCCTCTTAGTTCAACAACGAAATAACGTAAAGTGATTATTCATATGGAGGTTAAACGACGGTGAGTTTGGAAAATATTCATTTTCTATTCGCTATTAGTTAACTAATACCATACCGACCGCTACAGGATGGATTGCCCGGAGAGGAACAAATTATTGTTAATGGACAAGAATTATCAACAGCTACCGTCCTGTATAAAACAGCGCTACCGGGTTAGGTTGCCTCATTCAAGCGGCGCTTCACTGAAGAAGATTCGATTCGATGCAACGAAGAAGACAATACATTGAGAATACGAACGCCGGATCGTTGATTCTGAGAAAGAAGAAGACGTCGGAGCGTTAGCCGAATATATATTTGGCAGCAATTTCGCGTTATCTTATCAATAAAATAACGTACATTGGTCATTCACACCGAGGTGAAATGACGGTTGACATGGGAAGTACATGCAACGTATAGATTACACCGAACGTCTGAAAATGATTTTTGGAGAATTTCTGTCATTGGGCTTCTAAAGGTCATTACTCGGTAGAGAACATCAAGCTATGAGGTCTAATCACTTCACGATATTTAGACATCCCGATGTTTAGGAGACCTGCTGTCAGGTGATACGCGCATTCCACACTTCCATAATCCGTTTCGCTAGCATGCGAACGTCGTCCTAGCAACCGCATGGTTCGCGGGTGAATTCTTGTGAGGCTTGATAATTTACCGCCTTCTTTTCTAATATACGTGTCGAATAATACAAGCCGAGTTTCAATTTTGCTAGATACCCAGCGTATCTGCGCTAGGGTGATCTTAACATTCGCGGAGGTCACTCGCCAGGTTTTTATGTCCAAGGTATCGAACCAATTCGCTCTCTTTCCAGACAAATCTACTAGCAACTTCCGAAGGATAACGGTGTTGGCTTAATACATCGCAAGTCAATCAAAGTCGCCAGATATACAATCGATCATGTCTAACAACACCTAATGAAGCCGAATTCATAGCGCATTTCTTAGCGACTGTGTAGCAACACTTTATCCTTATCTTTTACTCTACCTATGAGATCTTAACGTGTAATCATAAAAACAGGCGGCATAACATTGCACTTTATGTCACATTCTTACATATGAACCAATAACTTAAAAACTATTCGCTTTAGTGTTTTCATATTCAAGAAGCGCGTATAATTTGTTTCTGGTGGTTTACCTACTCATGATAGCAGAGGAGAGAGGTGGTGATTCTCAAAGCTGGTCTGCACTCTTCGCGTAGATGTTCACCTCACTATTACCCTCTACTCCAATGTAAAGAAAAAGATTTAATCCACTAATAATATTTTCAAGGCTGGGAATACCTTAGAAGAGGAAGGAGACATTTCGATCTATAAATGTGTCCAAGAATAAATACCTAGGTTGAGCGCCGTGAGCAGCTTGTGGGTATCTTATCGCAGTGAACAAGAAATGATTGAACAAGGACGGTAGATGAGGTGACGATCACTTCTGCGACAATCGTAAATCATAGATGTATGAGGATTTTGGCATGGTTAAATGCTTCTTCATCACATTTTCTAAGAACTTTAAAGTGCTCGAAGGGACCAAGAATGTTGAAGTAAAAAGTAATCTACGGAACGATTTCCAATGAGCGTAAACTGCAAAGGGTACAGTAAAATTTCATTTGTAAGCACGTTCTTAGAACAGATAGTACATTAGAGATTACAATGGATGTTTAGAAATCTACGTAGTATTACACACTTTGTCGACTTTACTCTATTATGCATTGAAACCAATGCCAACTACCCGGTGGGAAATATCTTGGGGTGCAGTGGAGTGAGAAATCAAAATCAGCAGTTTTGTTGGCTCTGCCTAGAAACGTCAAGCCGCATGGAAGGTGCTGCTGTGAAATTACACTAAAAAGCTAAACAATTCATAGTAGAATTGATTAGAGCAATAGTGATGAATTAATGTCGAGCAGAGGAATGTGAACAAATGACAAGGTTTGTGAGAGGACTGGTAGCTCGAAAATAGACATTTAGCGACATGTGGTATGGTGAACTTCTACACAGTGCTCACCGAAGAAGTTATAAGTTGGAACACTGCTCATCTGACTAAGGAGCAACTTTGACCAATTTCAGAAGAATTCAGATTGATTCGTGGACTAGTCGCTGGACTATTCTCGATTGTATCGATGACGTTTGTTGCGAAGATGTGGGCACGTTGTCACAGCTGTCTCGAGCTTCCAAGGAAAATAAAACTGAATAAGTAACCACTACTTTAATGAATACATTACAGATCGTGAGGTAGCCACTGAGGCCGAAACAAGCCTGGCTGCCCCCACTTAGTCAAGTTGTCGAACGACTAAGTGAACTGATATACCACTTGATGGTGCGTAAGATATTTCAGAGCGAGTCTTCTAAATATTTAGGCTCTCACTTCTAGCATTTTATATAGGTTGGTTCTTACTTGATACTTTATACTTAAACGAGTAGGTTCAGTTGATTCACTTGAAGATATTCTGGGTTAAAGCACCACGTCACTAGCACGTTATAGTATTCCTGGCTCAGTTTCACAAATCGAAGAAATTCATTACAAATGAGTTTTAATCGAAGTTTTCAAATGATAGCAGATCAGTGAGCAAAAAACACTACGTGTTTGCCATGAGTGCTCGCCCTGATAAGCAGACATGATTTCTGACACCATATTTGGCGCACATTTGCCAACCTTTCCCCAGATTTCGACTAACTCAGAGATTGGACGAAAAGGAATTGAGATCCAGTGTACTTAAATCAGCCACTTCAATTAACCTAAAATGGGGAAGTTTTTGCAATTGCATATGGTTCCGACTGTTACTTGAGGAAAAATTGTGTATGGGTCTGACTGTCAGTTGAAGTCTTGTTTACGCGACCCTTTCTGGCATGATGAGACTACCATGCTAGAGCGTTTATTATCAGAAGCAATGACTGGATAGCAGGAAGCTTTTTTTCAATAAGCCTGGTGTCAATTTGGCGGAATAAATGATGTCAGGGAACACGCGTCTATCGCACAGCATTTATAATCCCTACACTTTCTGTTCCAGGACCGCACTCATAGAGAGGAGGGATATGTTCGGAGAGGCTATTAATCGCGGATCAAAAGCGACCTTTACTTTCCTGAGACGCAAGTGGATCCTGGAGATGGAGTGAGTGTTTAAGCTGCCGCGATTTGGCACATACTTTATTTACATGGCCGCATTCATACATGCGTGTGTAGATGTGTTGTCTTTATGCGGATTGTATTCTACAAGTCAATTCGGCCAAGGACAGCAATCAAGTGATCGGGAAGTATTCGAGATTTACGCTGTGAAGACAACAATCACAAGACCTGCGTTGCGGAAAGACCAAAAAAAGAAAGAGAACATACAGGTCCATTCAAGCGAACAGTTAAAAACCGTGTGGCAGTGCAATCAATGGAGCAAGCTCACCTCCAACATCCTCACGTAGAATCCAAGCCGTGAGTTCATTTGGCAACTATAGCCACAGATCAATTGTAGCAGCATAAAACCACAATCTCTACTGCACATCTCTCAATTCGCAGCCTCTGAAACGCTTAGGGTAAGTGCCAATATATTACAGAACTATTAAATAGTACGAATCACAACACAGATTCGCCTTCGAGAGTCAGGTAAAGGCAACAACGACTAGTGGATAGTCTGTACACTATCTGATGTTCAATTCAACTGACTATCCCACCACTGAACTACTGAAAAGTAGTGAGTGGCCCAATGGTCACTACAATACTGGTGCACCAATCCCAGCCACCACTACAAAGGACAAGGCATGACGTCATCAGACCGGCCGAGACGACACGACGTCACCCGTCAACCGCTGTATACGACACGACGTCACCTGTCAACCGCTGTATACGACGCTGGAGAAGAACTGCTCTCCGGAAGATGCTACAATAGGGGAGTCGGTGGCTTCCGGCTTTCGTCAGCAAGAGTTTCGTCATGAACATCGATCCATTCAAACACCTGACAAATCGAATCACATGTTCACAATTGAAGAGATGTAGATTAATACAGGTTTTGACAATCTTCGTCGATTACACGCCAACATCAAACTATGACGAAGAAGAAGTCGAAGCGTTCTACATGGGCTTGGAAAAGTTCTACGGAGAAGACCATACATTCTTCAAGGTCATCATTGGAGATTTCAGCGCCAAGACTGGACCTAGAAGAACGTCTGAAGAACGTTACATTGGGACCCACATATTAGAACGGAGCGAACAGGGTGGGCGGCTGTCCTAGTTTATCATGACGACCAAGACCATCCATGGTAACTCGCAAATCCAGAATTCCCACCCTTAACGCTGGACGCGGGAGTTTCCTAGTGGTCTTGGTCGTCAGAATACCATAATGAAGTAGACCACATCATAGTAAACAGAAGGTTTCGCCTAACCGATGCCGCTGTTGTCTCAAAATTCTACACTGGATCAGACCATCATCTTCTTCGTTGCATTTCTCGCAGAAAGGAGGAAGACCGCTAAATCCAAGAAACGAAGTTCCAGAACCACCATAAACTGGCGCTTATTCAATTCATTAGTCGGCTGCTGGGAAGATGCCCTTGTTGATAACATCGACGACGAATGCGATCGGCTCGTTCAACAAAATTAGCGCTATGGAAGGTGAGAGCTCGAAAGTCACCAAGAGATGCTTGTCTCCAGAAACACTCGAGTTGATACGCCAGCGCGGAATCGTACGAGCAGCTGCCAACCGCAAACTAACGTTCGAACTTGCAAAACGATGCAGAGAGGCGGTCAAAAAAGATCTTAAAGAGAGAAGAGCAGCAGTAATGGTCGACGCTGCGGAGGCTGGGAAAAGAATTCGCAAAGCCCACCGAACCATCGCCAATTACAAGACCAAAATGATTGAACTCGGGCGTCCAGACGGAACAGTTACAGCGTCCAGAAAGGTAATGGAGAAAATCATTCACAAATACTACTCGGATCTCTTTCACAGCCACGTCCACCTTCCGTCATATGAAATAAAGGACGATGGATATGATGTACTATCGGCTTTTCATTCGGAAATCGATATGCCATTTCGTCGGTGAAAAATAGAGCAGCAGCAGGTCCGGACAGGATAAGACCAGAATACCTGAAGAACCATCCGGCAGTCCTCGTAAATACACTGGTTCGGCTCCTCACACGTCACCTGTCGGAATGCAAGGTTTCTTCTCAGCGGAAAACCAGCAAGACCGTGTTATTGTTCAAGAAGAGTGACCTACACGATATCGCCCATTCTGCTTACTGTCTGCCGTCTCCAAACTTTTCATTGGAGTCATCCTAAACAGGATTGACAGAACACTAGACGAAGAACAGCCATGTGAGCAAGCAGGGTTTCGAAAAGGATTTAGTACCATGGACTACATCCACACGGTAACAAGGCTCACTGAAATATCGCGAGGGTACAAAAGACCGCTCTGTCTCACTTTCATCGATTTACAGAAGGCCTTTGATTCTGTTGAGATGGAAGCAGTCTAGGAAGCTCTTGATAGTCAAGGAGTCCTTACTCAGTACATAAAGATTTTTCGTGAGCTGTACAAAAATTTCACAACGAAGAT